TTATGGTACAATAAACTGATTGTACTTAAAGTGTACAACTTGAATTTTGACATGTAAACACCTGTGTAACCATCACTGTAATTAAAATAACAAACATTTCCATCACTCCAGAGATCCCACATGCCCCTTTGTAGTCAGTCCCCTCCCTGCCATCAGCTGGAGCAATCACTGATCTGCTTTCTATAGCTACAGGTTAGTTTGGGCTGCTCTAGATTTCTATGTGAGAGGAATTATACTCTATATACCTTTTTGCCTAGCTCCTTTCAGTCAGCATAATGATTTTGAGATTCATCCATGTTGTGCATAACAATAGTTTGATTTTAACCCATTTTCCATTTGCCCAGAGAAGACTCACCGGCAGCCCTTGAGGCTGCAGCTTTTACCCTGAGATAATTTGTGGATTACAGTCCTAATCCATGAAATATCTTGCTTTTATTATTATTTTTGTATCACTCTAATATATCAATAGTCTTTGGAGACAAATCTTTGTGCAGGATTACTAAGATTTTCTCCTAGAAATTTCAGTTTTCTGGTATTTAGGTTTGCGTTGCATTTCAGATTGATTTTTGTATATGGTGAGCAGTAAGGGCTTTTTTTGTTTTTTTTTTTGCTTATGGATATTCAGTTGACCAGTAACATTTGTTAAAAAGATTATCCTTTCCCCATTGAATTGCCTTGGCACCTTGTCCTAAATCAATTGGCCATACGTATGTGTGTCTACTTCTGGACTTTTCTGTCTCTTTGATCTATATTTATACTTCAGTATCAAAGTCTTTATTACTATAGCTTTATGGTAAGCCTTAAAATCAGGTACAATTCCTGCAGCTTTGCTCTTTTTCAAAATTTATTGGTATTCTAGGTCCTTTGCATCCATACACAGATTTTAGAATCATCTTGTCATTCTCTACAAAAAACAAAACAAAAACAAAAAAAACTAATAGACTTTTGATTGGGATTGCATTAAATTTCTAAATAAATTTGGGGAGAATTGACATACTAACAATATTGAGTCTTCTGATCCATGAGCAGGCTGTATCTGTCTAATCTTTAATTTCTCTGCATTGTGTTTTAGTTTTCAACATGCAGATCTTGCACATCTTTTTTTCCTCTAAATTTATCCCTAAATATTTAATATTTGGGGGGCTTTTGTAAATGTGTGCTTAAAACTTCAATTTGTAATTGTTCTTTTCTCATACGTAGAAATTCAATTAGTATTTATGTGTAGATGGTATATCCTAGAACCTGGTTGAACTCACTTAGCTTTTTTTGTGGATTCCTTAGGATTTTCTGTGTAGATGTTTATAAAGTCTGCAATAAATATGGTTTTACTTCTTCCTTTCAATTCTGTATGACTTTTATTTCTTTTACTTACCTGATTGCACTCTGTGTCCTCCAGTAACAATATTGGATAGAGGTGTTGAGAGTTGACATCGTTGTCGTGTTCCAGATCTCACAGTCTCAGTCTTCAAATTAATGGTATGGTAGTGATAGGTTTTTGTTGGTGTCCTTTAACAGCTTGAGGAAGTTTCTTTTCATTCCTAATTTGGTGAGAGTTTTTATGATGAATAGGTGCTAGATTTTTGTCAAAGGCCTTTTGTGTATCTATTGATGTGATTGTGTTTTTTCTTTTTTAGGCTGTTAATATGATGAGTTACCTTGATTTTTTTCAAATGTGAACCTGACTTCCCATATCTTGGATAAAACCCTTCTATGCATTTTATAAATAGTTGGTTATTGGTCTTTTCTTTTTTTTGTAATGTCTTTGCCAAAGAAAAATGAGAAGTTCTCACAAAGCAGTTCTTGCCACATACCAAAGTACAGAGGTTATCTGGAGGGAAGCAAGCACTTGGCGATTATTTGACTTGTGAACTGAACTCCTGCCACTTTTTTTATGGAACATCACTTTTACTTGAAAGAATGACTGAATAACTGGTTATTCAGCCTTGAATATTGCAGACATTTTCTGCAAGGCCTTCAAGCAAAAACATTTGGCAGTGTTTGTTGCTAATGTTACAGTTTAAATTTCCAGATTAAAATTTGGAAGTCTCTGCTGCTGTGAGCTGGATAGCTTCCCAGTGCTTAAGACTTTTCTGGTGAGATTGGTGGCAATATTAACATGTAATTTTGCAAAATACTGTATAATAAAATATATTACATTAGGAAGGTCTACTACATAACTTGTTGAACCAGTATTTCCAACTGACCAATGAATGATGTTACCAAATTTTACATGGGTATGAGATCCAGTGAAAGTGTAACATAGACCAATGGATTTAATTGTATCAGAGCACAAAAGTTCATTGATAATGGTTTCAGACTGCATTGAAACATTTTAGTGTCACAGAAAAATGTCCATAATTATTAAAATACTCCTGTTTTACAATACCTACTTGTATTGCAATAGCTAGAAAGAATGCAGAATCAGATATGAGAATCCATTTGTCTTCTATTAAGCCAGATATTAATGAGATTTGCCAAAATATAAAACAATGCTACTTTTCTTATCTAGTTGTTTTGTTTGGAAAAATATAGCTATTTTTATAAAAATTTATTTAATGTATCAGTTATCTAATTTCTTTAAATGAACAAATAAATACTTTTAAAAAATACTGAGGTTGAATTTCCATGTGATGAATATCCATAGATGTGATACAAATAAAAGCTTTTTAGAATCTTGAGACCATGGGGTTTAAAAGATGCTGATCTAGAATAGTGCTTAGCATATAGTAAGCAATTAGTAAACATTTGAATGATTCTTGACCATATCACATTTATAATTTACCTATCTTTTCAAGAGCACATGTATTTGATGTATATCTTGTCTATGTATCTTTTTTTCATACTTTAACAACCAGGTTTTTCCATATCTTGTGTTGGTACTGTGATTCTCTTTTCCTTGCCTTTGCTCAGGCAGGACTGTTCGGCAGGGAAAGTCATCAATTCAGGGACTGCCATTATATTTTGGAAAATCTGGTGATTTGCTGAACAAGAAGAAAATAGATTAGCAGTACCTGACTGAACATACATTGCATTTGGTATAGACTGGTTATATAAATGGTCATATTTCACATAGTCACAAAATTAGGTTTTAAAATTGTTTCAGTTGGTTATACCACGAAGTATAACAAGGCAACTGATATTTAGTGATTGTTACAGATATTACAGGTACCTTGTCATTAATATGCATATCAATAATGTATTTCAAATATGTCGAATCTATTTAGTTGATAAATCAATCTTTTTGCTAGTCAAAAGGAACATATAAACGTAGAAGACATTTGTTTGTTGTAGAGTCTTTTTAGTTTCACAGGATAAAAATCAAGAAAAGTATTGAATTTTTGTTAGACTTGAATCTGCCTGGCAGTAGGTCATGTTTCTGCAATTAAATTAATTTCTCTCTAGTCTTTAGCATGGCATTTCAAGTGAAAAAAATATATAACCCATTAAATGGGATTGTAGTATACTGCTCTGATATATCCTAGGCAACAGGTATCTTCAAAATTGAGACCATCTGTGGAAAACATTTAAAGAATTCCTTAAAAAGAGGATTTTAGAAAGCCTTATAAAAGGGGGCTCATAATTAACTGGGCGTGTGTGAACATACACGTACATGAAAAGCATTTTCTGAAACAGTTTTACAATCTCATAAAAATTAAAAACCTGATAATCCTGTAATACAAATGAGATTGAAAACAACGATAAACCTAAGTACTTTTTAAAGTAAGAGCATCTACTCTTATTGTAGTTAAATTTGGCTTTCTAGCCTTATTCAGTGACGTAGTGTCTTATTACTGAAAATGTTTATTCTACAGATTCTTGGAGCTCAACTAGATGTTGAACAAAGAGGGTTGAGTAATATGTGATCCCTCTATTAGGCACGGAGATAAGCCACCCCGACTCCCCTTCAAAGAAGGTCTAGTCCCAACTGTGAGGAGTGCAGACCAGGTAACCCCTTCTCCCCACACTTTAGCATCTGCCTTAGCTGCAGAGCTACCTTCCTAATGTCATGACCTCCCTGGAGCAGCGTGCATTTATGCACTGAGCAAGGAAGACAGAATAAAGACCTGACCATTTTGGCTAATCACAGAGCACTCTGATAGACAGTACTTGGTGTGACAGCTTCCCACCTGGTTGGGTGAAATTTTGTTGGGCCTGTATCACAGTTTAAATTCTGCCCAAACTTGCTTTTGTTACCTTCCTTTCCCAGGTGTTGATGCCCAGTAAACATCTGTGCTCCACATAGCACCTCACCTATACTTAGGAGAAGCCAACCTGCAATAGCTCTTAATCTCATGGAACTAATTTATTGGGAGGAAGTGTACATTAAATAAGAGATTTGAAATGTGATCATAACATAAGGTGCTATGGTGGTATATTATAGACAGAGCCTAAGCCTGGTCATTATATTGTTTAGGGTGGTGGCCTGGATCAGTAGTTAGGCCTGGGCTGGCACCAGACTAACTACTCTGAGTAGCATGAATCTTGGACATACTACTTCCTCTTTTCCAAGCCAGTTTTTTCATTTGTTACGTGGGAATGGCATATCGTCTCTCATCCTATAGGCAACTAACCTGGGATTACTTGCATTGCTGGGAAAGGATTCCCAGCATCAAGAGAGAGGGTTCAATGCAGACATTTTCAAGGCCTTGCTTGCATCACTGGGCTAATGTCCCATGGGTGAAGCAATTCACATAGTCAAATCTTGATTCAAGGATGGAGGAATAGACCCCACCTCTCTGTGGAAGAATTTGAAAAATAAGTGTGAAAAATTACTAACATAATGCCTGGTAGTAGTTAACATTTATTGAACACCTTCAGTAAATTATACCTATTTACTGAAGGTAACTGTACTATTATACTTAATATATTGTATGTATGGTATGTGAAAGAAGAAATATTTGGAGAATATGATATATTCTTTTGATATGTTAAAACAATTTTTATGATGGGGGAAGTTTGCAAATAAAGTGCTTTCTTTTTTTTCTTTTTTTTCTTTGCAGTAAGAAAAATGGAAAACCACCACTACAGAACAATGAGGTAAAATTTCAAATCATTAACTCTTTGGAATTTTATGCATTTATTTGTTTTGTTATACAATTTTGAGTTAGGACAATAATCATAGAATTTTAGAATATGGGGGACTTGAATGTCACCTGCAATCTGCTAGATATTACAGGACTTCGTTCTGAAATGGGAATCCTTGGTAGGTGACTTCTAGTATTTACTTGAATTTGTTCATTTGTTGGAGACTACCCAGGAGGCAGGTAACTATATTAGTTCTAGCCCATGATGAGGTTTATCTTCCCTCTGTGGGCACTTAGTGATTGACAGTTTTGTCTTTTGTTGCAACACAGGACAAGCCTGCTCTGTTTTCTCTGATAGACTCTCATACTGTTTGAAGATAGTTGTATCTTCCACATCGTTTTTTTCCATGCTAAACAACCCTTATGTTTTCAACTGTTTCTCAGGTGACAGTTTCTGATCCTTTTTCAATTCTGTATTTATTCCTCTGGACCCATACTCATTAGTTTCTCTAGACATTGTATTTAGTATAGAATGTAGTTGACCAGACAAAGTCTGACTGGCATCTCTTAATCTTTTTTTTATGGCTATGTTTTATCCAGATGTGACTATAACCACTTGTAGCAAAATCTGGTTTTTATTTCTCCATTAAGGGCCACTAATTATGTAAGAAACATCAAATTCCTTGATTAATTTTTAATTGTTATTAACCTTTCAATAAATATCAATTGAGCTCTTCATACATGCCTGGTATTGTTTTTGGCTCTGGCTGTGTAGCAGTTATAAAAGTAAGTGGAGCTTACATTGTATATGCCAGCTAATACACTAGTACGATACCCTCAAAAGGAAGAATATTAGAAGAGCTTGACATAACTTATTCACAGTAAATTCATGCTGGCTTATAGTGGTGTTTCTTAAGTATCCCAAATCTTCCATATTAATATCTATTTTCTGAATATTCTAGAGATGGACATTGAAATTTTTGTTCTTTAGTTTCCATAATCTTTTCCCCAGGCTTTGAAAAAATGGGACCAGATGTGTTTATCTCAAGTTGTCTGGTATATCTCCATGTTCATAATTTCTTTCCTTTTTTTCCCCATAATTTCTCATATCTAAATTATATGTGAATAATCAAACTTTTGTTGATTTACAAGGGGGGGCAAAAATCTGGAATTATCTTTTGGAGGGCGGGGCCCCTGTAGTGCAGGCTTCCCCCTCTAGGTAAGTGAGTGTTCTAGGAACCCATGTCCATCAGTGTACCAAGTAGTGTTGTGAGAGGCTATATTTGGCTTCAGTGAATTTTTTTTGAAGACTCAACATGTTTGCCCATTTCATGATGGGTGATTTCGCAAGCCCACACTATGCTGGAGATCAGCAGTTTTTGACTAAAAACAAGCTGCATGTTCAGCAATTTTACCCACCATCCCTATTCACCCGATCATGCCCTGAGTGACTTTTTTTATGTTTCCCTGGATGAAAAAAGTTCTCAAAGGGAAACTTTGTTGATGTGGAAGAGGTGCAACAAAAAAAATGGCAGAAGCACTAAAAGGCATTAAAAAATAAGTTAAAAAACTGTTTTGAGCAGTGGAAAAAATGTCTCCATAGGTGTATTGCATCCAATGGAGAATACTTTGAAGCTGACTGAAGTTAAAACATGGAAGAATAAATGCACAATTTTTTATAAATAAATTCTGGGGTTTTTTTTATTCACCCCCCTCAAATATCAAACCTTAGACTCCTATCTATTGCCTGCATATTATATCTGTAAGTTCTAGGACATCAGTGAAATTAGTACAGCTAAGTTCATTCACTTGTTTTTTAATTTTTTTGTACAATGTTTTTAGCATATACTTATTTGCTGATCATATTGTATGAGCAAGATAAATTTAGGTTAGATTAAATGATTGGCCAAAAGAAGATATAAGGCAGTATGTACAATGATACCACATCTGTAAAATTTATTAGGGAGATACACACACATGCACAATTATACATATGTGCCAAAATGAAACCTGGTTGGGTATATGCTAGTTATCACAGTTGATTTTTTTTAAAGATTTTATTTTTATTTATTTTTAGAGAGGGAAGGGAGGGAGAAAGAGAGTGAGAGAGAAACATCAATGTGCGGTTGCTGGGGGTCATGGCCTGCAACCCAGGCATGTGCCCTGACTGGGAATCGAACCTGCGACACTTTGGTTCACAGCCCGCTCTCAATCCACTGAGCTACACCAGCCAGGGCTCATGGTTGATATCTTTAAATGATAGGTGTAGGCTCCTTATTTTTGCTAATCAGAATTTTCTAATTTTTTTCAGTGAATATGTTTCTTTTCTTTTTATTAGCCTCTTTTTTAATTTTTTAAATATTTTATTTATTTTTTAGAGACGGAAGGGAGGGAGATAGAGATAGAGAGAGAGAGAAACATCAATGTGCGGTTGCTGGGGGTTATGGCCTGCAACCCAGGAATGTACCCTGGCTGGGAATCGAACCTGCGACACTTTGTTTCCCAGCCCCGCGCTCAATCCACTGAGCTACACCACCCTGGGCGAATATGTTTCTTAATGAGGAAAGCAATTAAGAAGGAAATTTTTTTCCAACAGAAATTTGTTACAATCTGTTGTAGGATGGGGTGGGGTGAGACAGTTTTCATAAGACATGAGATTTAAGAAGGAGAAGATTTATTACAGTTAGAAAATAGTATAAAGAGATACTTGACTTGATTTTAAAATACTTTTTCATTTAATTTTGTTGTAATATACATGGTATAAAATTCAAAACACAGAAAGGTAAACACTGTGCTGGGTTTGGTGTTTAGCATTCCCATGTGTATTTTTATACTTTTGAGTATAGGTATGTATATCTCCACAAAAAATATAAGTAGAATTATTCTGCATTTTGAAAAATTATATAAATTGAGTCATTATATGTATCATTCTACTTTTTTCCAGCATGTGTTTTAGATCTGTGTTGATAGCTGTAAATTAATTTAACTGCTCTATAGTATTCTGTTGTTTGAATATATGCTGCTTCCTTTATACAGTTGTGTAGATTTTTACATAAATTTACCATAATGTTTGTAATATCCTCTGTTGATGTACATGTAAGATTTTAACTTTATGATATAAATATTGTGCAGGTTATTGTTTTCACTTATGTGTTTAAGCATATAGGTAAGAGTATTTTAGAATAAGTCCCTAAAAGTAAATTTGACGAGTCGTTTTATATTTTATAGTCAGTGTACATTTTACATTTGATATATGCAACATAATAGTTGTACTGGTTTTCATTTTCCCCAACAATATAAAGGAATGCTTACACTCTTTATCAGCACCATATGGCCTTTTTATTTTATTTTATTTTATTTTACTTTATTTTATTTTATTTTTATTTCAAAACAAACATCTATCTTTTTCAGTCCTCATTCATTTCACCTGTCTAAGTGATGCATTAATAGGAACTTCTCAATGCCCTTTGACCTTGTTGCCTCCTGAATATTAGCTACTTTTTTTCTGGTTGCATTATCTATCACTTCAGCTTCTTTAGTGGTCTTTATCTAATGGGTTGTTTGCTTTTTCTATCATTTACATGTTAATTTTATAGCATCAAAGTGGTTTGATGCTTTAAAAACTTGTCTTTGAATTTATGAAGAAGAGAATGAATTGGCAGATTGCATATTGGAAATGCTAAATGATAAATTTAGGAATTGGAAAGTTTCCTATAATTAATATTAGGGAAATTCACGTTCAAGATTTCAAAAACAAAAAAAATAACTTACTGTTTTTGGTAATAACCTGTTTTGTTGAAAATGTGTTTGAATATGAAGAGCAGTACAAGTCTTTGTTCTTTAAATGTAGTGTCATCTTGATAATTGTTTATATTGACTTAGATGATACATGGTTCTTTAATCTTATTTGTTCTAGATTTGTTATAGCTATATTAAAAACTTTCCTTTTTTAATGTAGAAAGAGGGAAAAAAAGAACGAGCTATGGTGGACAAGGTATTTTTTTCAAGGCTCACACGGATTCTTAAAATCATGGTCCCTAGAACATTTTGTAAAGAGGTAAGTCTTACGAAATTATGTTAAGTGTTAAACTTTAAAGGTTACATGTTATAAGAACAAAAATTATAAAGCAAAACTACAGGTCAAATGTTTTCAACTATAGATAACGAAGATTACTAAATTTTTGTCTTAAATCATTGTCTGTCATGCAAGTAAGTGCCCTAGTTATTTAGTGACAGTTTTTAAATAGTTTTTTAATGTAATACTATTTTATTATTTTATGTGACATTCTAGAGTACTTTAGTGCAGCTACTGTAAGTGGTGTTGCTTTATTATAATATAATGAAAACAACCTTAAATTTACAAGTTTTATTTTATTAAGATGTTAACAAGTCACATTGATAGGGATTATATTTAGGGGCTGCTACATATTTAACTGAATATGTTTTAAAGATACCAAAATGATATCTAAAATTTTCAAGTATTTTCACGAAGTGAGCTAGTTGTTGGAATAAAGTTTTATTATCCCTTTCTTTGCCCTTTTATCTGTATTTGATGTGTTTTTAATTATTAAAAATCTAATCACCTCAATATTCTCCTTTTATTCACTAAAAATACACCTTTGACTCTTTCTTCCTCCTGTCAGTCACCTATCCTTTCAGTCACTGGGATCTGGCAACTTTTTCTTCTAAATATTCTTGCCCTCATGTCATAGTGTTCTTTAGTCAGTCTCACTTCAAAGACTCTCCCCTTCTAATCTTTTCTGCCAAATTTATTTTCTTCAAACATAGTATGTTTCCAGTTGTTCAAATTTAAAAAAGCATTTGCCTTATAATCTATTAATAGCTAGAAAAGATAAGACACCTCAAAGCACTACAGTTCCCGGTGAACGCCCCTCCAGCACACTGGACTGCCTTTCCTTTCCTCTCACTTCAAATCGTGTTGTGGTTATTCCACCCTTAAGAAACTCTAAAACATAGTAATAGTTGTTTATTTCTGGCTAGAGATAATATGTGTTCTTTGAAGAAAAACTGAAAATTGCAGATAGATACTTTTTCTTCCTGGTGCTTGTTAGCCTCCCACTCAGAGAGGACTCATGTCATTATTTTTTGGTGCATAGTCTTGTGTGTGAGCACATAATAAAAATGGGGTCACACTGAAACTTTTAAAATTTGCTCTCTCCCTCATATAGGGTGGGGCAAAAGTAGGTTTACAATTGTTTGTATGGAAAATAACAATAATAGTTAATAAACAATAATACAAGAGTAAACTATTTGATGTACTCACAACTGTAAACCTACTATTGCCCCATGCTGTCTTTTAAATGTTTTTTTTTCCAAGTATTCTTGAGTTTCTCTTAAATTAGTCTCTTTCCATTTCTACTGGATTATTATAATCTCTTAATTGGTCTTTTTGCTTTTTCTCCTTTTCTAACTAGTCTTCTTTCTAAAACCCTAGTAAATATATTTTGCTTATTTTTTCTTATAGGGTAAATCACATCCTGACTTTGACCTTCTTTTCAGTACCCTCTGCTTAGAAGGTTCTCTGCTGTTTTTCAGTCAGAGTGTGTGCTGTCATGGCATCACGTTTATGACAGCCTGACCCCCACCCCCAACAGAAACAGATATGTTTTAAAAAAAAAACCTTGATGTTCATTATCTTCTTGTGAAGGTTTCCCATGACTCTTCAGGCACAATTCGTCATTTTTTCATTCTATAACCTACCTGACTTCAGAGAATCCTTATATAAAATACAAGCTTTTCTGGAAAGATTTTGTATTATTCCTCTTACCAGTTAACAGCATAATGCTTATTTAACTGCCTATCAGGGATTTGCTGACCATAAAATGAATGTGAGACATTGGATAAATATCTGGGTGTTAGTAAGGAGGTAGAAGAGACTAACTTGGCCAACCTCCCAGTTTTGTTTAGGTGAAGCCATATCACAGAGTAATTATAAACCAGTTTTGAGCAATATAAAAATCCAATTTTAACCCTGGTTCAAGAAATTGAAATAAATGCCTGTAGAAATCACAAAAAATTGGTGGTAGAGATGAACTGATTTATGAAATCACCATTGTTAGTGGTGATTCTAACAACATCTTTTATATAAAGGCATTTCAGGACTGTCAGTAATAAAGTTTGCCAGATTTTGCTAAAGTGAGACAAGTAAACTTGATACCTTCTTTAAGGATAAATTAAGCCAAGAACATAAAATGAAGAAAAAATAAACTATTTTTGTCTAATGTTACCTTTATACCTCAGATGATTAATTTATGAGACTGTATGTGAGGTCTGAATTAAAAGTTAACTCTACCATTAAAGTGACATATAGACAGCATTCATTAAAATTAACAGATCTTTCTATTGTCAATTGAATGCCTAACTTTGAGATGATAGGATAGGATAGAAGATGGCATGTTTCTTCCCAGGAAACATGGGGGTGGCAGCTGTCACAGCACAATCACAGATTTTCTTTGACACTGTCTTCTCTCTTATGGCTTCATTTACTCTATGTTTATGACTCCCTGCCTTGTCTTTCACTTAAAGGGCTGTATTTTCACTACCTTCACCTTTTCATTTTATTGTTTTTATTTCATCACATTCTTTATTCTTTTGTAGACTGGAAGGTTATAATGACTCTATGCTATATAAATAAAACATTTACCTTTTTATAAAACAGTATTTGTTTTGCAAAAATTATGTATTAGATACAGTTGTCCCTCAATTCTGTAACTTTGAAATTAAACACATTCTCCAAATGTCCTGCCTGTCACACACCCTCTTCCCTGACTTTAGCTTCTATGTTACTGTCATATTTTTCCAATTTAGAAAGTTTAAGGTCATCTTTGAATGTCTGCTAGAGCCTGGAGGGTAGATTCTCATTTTGCACAGAGAGATGATTGATTCCTAGCCAGCCACTCAGCTCCTCATCTCTTTCCCCTTGATAATCCATCTTGCACAGCATTACTTCAGTAATGTTTCCTAAGCAACACTTTGCAACATTTTGTTCTACCCAGAAGCTTTTAGTATTTTGATATGGCCTGTACTCTGCTGGATATGCCATGCTCATAATTCATATGGTTTTAATCCATTTCTTATTTTCCATTGAATTATTCATCTTTTTTACTCATAGTCCTCATTCTTTCCTTTGTTTTACTTGGTTTAGTTAATATATTTCTAATATCATAACCCTCTTTTGCTACCCCAGACCTCCCATCTTGTTACTTAGCACATGAAGTAATGCAAATATACCTACATTGGTCTGTTTTCTTATATTTTTAAAAAGTGTAAATCTTGCCTTAATTAACTAAAATGAAAGCCCTGTGAGTGCAGGGGCACTCTTAGAGATTTTCCTGATAAACTGAACCAAATTTATTCCACTTAGCTAAAATTTTAGGCTTCAATATTTGTTGTTTAATTGCATACTGACAGTTTTATTATCACTTTTCTTTATTAGTCATATATTAAAAATATAAGACAATCACAATACACGGTGATTCAGGTAATCAAAGTTATACGGCTAGTTTCTGCCATTGACTGATTTTATGAAGGCAAGTCATTTGACCTGACTAGGATTCACTTGTGAATTTTGGATAGGAAAGTTAGAATAAATTATCTATAAGGCCTTTTCCATTTATATTTAAAATTTTTTTAAGTATATTTTAAAATTTCCTATAGGTAAAATGTCAGCCAACTGTATTAAAGCTAGAATAAAGCCTTAAATTTAGAAATAACAAACCTTTGCCAAGGTAATGTGTTTTTTTTTTTAACTTTCTAAAATGCATTTATTTAATTTACTATACCTGGTTTATTTTAGACAGGTTACTTGATACTTATTGCTGTTATGCTGGTGTCTCGAACGTATTGTGATGTTTGGATGATTCAAAATGGGACACTCATTGAAAGGTACTTTTCTGTTCACCTTCCTCCCATATGTATGAAATACTAATTTGTCTCATACTTAAGCAATATCTTAATGAGCAAGATTCTAAATTAAGTGTAAGTACTTAAGTCAAATTATGTCTCCGTTCATTTACTTGGAGACGAACTCTGTGATAGGGATGTACTGGTGACGGGAGGGACCCTCTCTGCATCAAGTCCTGCAGAGTGGATGGTTTGTAGAGGATTAGAGACAAGACAGAGGAAAATTAAAATGCAGTATAATAAGTGCTTTATTGGGGGTTTAAAAAACTCACCAATTGGATGACTAAAATTAATGAGATAATTAGGAGGAAACTATCAAAGCATATTAGGGTATCACATTGAAAATGTTTATTAAAAGGAAACAATTCTTAGACATTTCTTTTAGTTTCTGAAGTTAGTGTTTATAAAATTTTTTCATTATAGTCTTTCTACGTGTTAATTATTAATCATTGCAGTTGATAATTTTGGACCCCAAAACAAAAATAACGTCTGTTAATAAAGAATTTATTCCTCAGGATACCAATTTGAATGCCAGAATAAAAATTTTCTTGGAACTTTGTTTGCTGGTCTGCAATATTTTGTCAGAAAATGTCTTAAATACTCAGTCTAAGATAACTTTTGAATGACAGCACTTAAAGCTTTAAAATGTGCCCAAATTTTGAAATAAAGAATTTTTTTCCTCATATCCTTAATTTGCTTCTTATGGGATTTATAGGACAAGGAAGAATGTTTTACGCACATGTTTTCTGCCTCACCTGTCTAGGAGAGTATAGGTGATCTGCATAGGCTTAAAGCCCTAACCACATGCTTCAGAATGTGTGTAAATTGTGTAGGCTCCTGTATTCAACACAGGTCTCTCTGACACCTGTGGTTGGGCCTGGGCCTTTTAGTTTTAATCAAAGTAATATATGAACAGCTTCAAAAATAATATGTGAACATAGCTTAATGTCAATTAGTCTTGTAGGCGTTAGTCACAGACACAGCAGCCAGGTGCACCATTTCTCCCACTCATAGTTGTCATCCCTGGAGCCAGTCACTTTCTGTTCTTTTTGCTGTTTCATCTGTCATTTTATCTCTGCATTTCAGTGTAACATACTTGTGTTACTGTTTCTAGTTTTAGAGAGTATATATTTATTTGCCTACTTTGGAAGATGAGCATTAACTCTTTTATACTCTTACCCACCCCCATGCTTATCCTTTCGGTGTTGTTATATTGCAGTATTTTGTTAAATCAGAATTTATTGTTTACATGATTTTGACTGTTGTTTACAGCTGAACCACATGGCATATATTTTGGTAGTTTCTTTTATATACAGCCTTTTGATTTTCCTGACATTTATAAAGTACAAGGTTTTGTGTGCTTTAGTTTTTTGCCTACTTCTTACTAATTCAACTCAAGTTTATTGATAACACAGTAAACTCTCCTCAATACTGTAATATCGTCAAACACATGTGATAATCTATTTATTTTTACTATTACCACCCACCCCATGCTTCTTGTTAGTTTCCTGTCTTCCTGCTCTAATCAGGATCAATTGTGCTTTAGACCCACTAAATAGCAGTTGTGTTTGAATTTGCTTTTATCACGATCTTGCAGATTTCTTTCATGTTTCTCTTCCGCATTAAATAACCTGTTTTCTGGATCTTTTGCTTCCCTCTTTCTCAGTTTACTCTCTCATTTTGGCAGATACAGTCTTTTTCTGAGAAATGGTGCAAAGGAAATACATTTTTGAGAGCTTTTAGATCTGATAAAGTCTTCTACTCGAACACTTGATTGATAATATAGCTGTGTTTATACTTTCCAAGTTGGGACTTACTTTTTGTCAGATTTTGGAAAATACCACCCTGTTGCTTCTGTAGAACTCATTGATTCTCAACCTCGGCTGCAGGATGATTAGAATCTCTGGGCAATTCTGAGAATTAATGACTGGGCCCACCCTGGGTATTCTGATTCAATTAAACATTACTTTTTGAAACATCCCAGGCGATTCTGATGTGCAGCCACAGCCAAAAACTTTGTACTAATCACAGTTCCATATGGGTGGTGGGGCCAGTTCCCTTCCTGTTGCCCTTCCTCAGCAGCAGATCTGTTTTTCCTTCCCTTTGGAAGCTTTTACGGTCCTTTGTTATTGATGTATTGCTGGTGTTTGGGAAACTTACTGAACGTTCCTGTGATTTCTTCTTTTACTCATTGTGCTGGCCATGAGGTGAGCTCTTTTCAGTCTAGAAAGTCATTCTTTGTTCTTCCTCTCCTTTTTTTTTGTATTCTTTTCCTGGAATCCTTAATAGTCTACTGTTGGACCCCCTGGATTGATCATCTGATTATGTTATAATTTCTGCACTGTTTTTATTACTGATATTTTGTATTCTAGGAAATTTCTTTTAATTTTATCATCCAGTGAATTTTATTAAAATTTTATTTCTAAGAGTTATCTTTTTGTATGAATGTTCATTTTTGTAGCAATCGCTCTTTTAAGTCTGGACTTTTTATTTCACTCCCTGCATTGTTTGTTTTCCTTTATGATCCTTTGTCACTCTTGTTAGAAGTTTTCCTCAAGCAGTTTGTCACTCCTGGCTGTGTATTCATATTTAAAAGAGAAGGCCTAAAAATCTTGTTAGAAGCCAAGCTGAAGGCTTGTTGAAGGTCTAGTCTCCCAGGATTTGTAGGCGTTTGTGGTGGGAGTGTGGTCAATTTTGTGTCTCTATGTCTTAGTGAGGAATCGTCTAATAAATTTAAAGAATTTCAGCATAAACATAATTGAAATGTTTGTTTATTGTTGCTAGCATATCAGCTTTAGGAGGATCGTTTTTATTGCAAAGTTCTATTTTTATGAGCTGTGTGTGCAAGTATTTGAGACCATTGTGTAATTAATGTAGAGAAGACATTTATGCTTCTTTACATTCTTACAGAATTACATACTTTTTTCTTTGATGGCTTTATTATAACATTGTTAATTACCTGTAGCAAAAATCTATAGATTACATCAACTGTGAGCGACATCATATTAAATACTTGTGTAGAATCTATCACATATTTTGTATAAAAACCCTGCATAATCATGGTATAGTATAGAAAATTAAAAGTTTTCCTCTTTTATTCAGATTTTGTGATTTCATGTTTTTGTAATCCAAAAGAATAGTATTTACTTTTCTAAACTGGAGATTTCCAACTTTGAGTAGCTGCTAATAAATATTTTCTCAAAGACCTACTGTCCTTCAAAAAATGCTTTACAAAGAATAAGTAGCATTAATTGGTGATGATGGACAGAGGAAAGTTATTATGTAGTGTGAGCCAGCTTGTAATTCTGCTAGAGTAATCAGCTTTTTGGGTACTGAGTTTTGAATTTTAGTTATGAACTATAGAAAAAATTAATAATTTAAGAGGTTATAAAAACATATTTTGATACAATTTAAACTTACAGAAAAGTTGTAAGAATGGTACAAGGAACTTTCTTATATTCTTAACCCCAATTCACCAATGTGAAATGGTAATTTTAAAGTTGATTAACTTTCTCCTTAATAAATATTTTTGAGTTTCTGCTATATAGGGAATATTTGCTATTTGGTCAAATTATAAGTTTTAAAATATTGTGAATCATGCTATGGAACAGGTTTATTTGAAAAATGTTCACATTTCTCTTACTAGTAAAGCTACATTGTGAATGGGTTTATCTGTGCTTTCCATTTTGCCTCTTTCAGAGTAGGACTAGATTCATTTATTTCTGCTATGATCCTTAGGGTACTTCATTTTAATGTTCTTTACATCTTTTAGGCTTACTTGTTAGCAGTGGCTAATGACTTTGGGGTGTGTGCAAATTTTAATAGGACAGACCTTGTCTTTAATGGAGGACAGCCCTTCTACCTTATTGCTTCTGTATGTAATCATCTGTATATAGCTCTCACCTATTTGGCTATAAGCAGCATCTTTATCTTTTATAAGATTCTTACATGTATCAAACGTAATAATGATTGGGGTTGCTATAAAATTATTCTTTATTATTTTTTTTGCAGTGGAATAATAAGCAGAAATAAGGCTTTATTCAAGAAACCATTTTTTAAATTTATAGCTGCTATTCCAGTGGTAAACCATTGCTGAATGATAGCATGTGTTTTACCAAAGTTTTATAATTTTGTGTGTTTTGCAGCTTGGGCAGCACTAAAGCACTTGGGTTTATGTAAAGTTTGGTTCAAACAATTTTAAATCTCTAAACTTTTGTTCTGTCTTAATTGCTTCTTGTCTCTAATATTCTTATTGTTATAAACAGCATTTTTGTGTGTTAAAAATTTTATTTTAACTTTTTTTCTAGTTCAACTTATTTTTTTCCTTTTAGCAGCTGTATCAAAATTGGACTGTTAATTTTTCTATCAGGCTAAAGTAACATTTCCCAAAGTATGTTGTGTGGAATGCTAATTATGGCAGAAGAAATGCTACATGCTGCACAGCCCCCTCAGGGAGTTACAATGGACATATTATACGTGAAGCACTGAGGTCTTTAATGAAGACATTTCTTAGCTTTGTTTAACCCAGATTTTCCTAAATTCATTTGACCATGGAACTTTTTTGCTCTAAAAGACCAACGAACATTACTTGGCATTATTACCTACTCCTTCATAAAAAGCAAATTTTTTCTCTATCATATCCCATTAACTTTGTGTGTATGTATGGAGTTAGGTTTAAATCATTTAGTGCAGTATTTTTCAAAGTACTAAGTATTTTATTTATACTTGAGAGTACTAATAAAGGTTATTTGGTAAAAGAATGTGTGATCAAGTAAATTATACCTTTTTACTAGAGGTGAACTCAGAGAGTCTTTACTTACATGATACAATGGTTTTCAAACCTTAAAAAAAGTGGAGGGACTCTCACTTTAAAAGTTCTTTATAGATATTTTAAAAACAGGTAAATATATAAATTAAAAACAGATTGAAAAAAGAGGAGCTGGTTTCATTGAAGTGTGTGAAAGACCTTGAGGCTCTGGAGAACCCTACTGATCTACGTTTTGAGTTATCTTCTAGTCCCATGGTTGGTAAAGTAGACCTGCAGGTCAAGCCAATACTACCTATTTTGGTAAAATTTTATTAGGATACAGGATTTTTCATTTTTGGCTATTTTTGCTCTACAACAGCAGAATTGAGTGTTTGTCCACAGAGAACCTATGACCCACAAAGCTTAAAATATTCACTCCTGGCCCTTTATAGTGAGAGCTTGATCTCTCATTAGTCTGTCTCTCTAGAGACTAATTCTACAAACATGTTCATACAGATGAGAATCAGAAAGTTAAAATATTTTAAAGATAAAGAAATAGTTTGTTTTGTCCATAGTAACCCATTCCTGGGTCTGCACAGTTAATTGTTTTGCCCTATAAACCCCTTCTGTGACAGCCTAAGCCTTTTTTAAAATTACCATTTTTATGAAGGAAAGAATTGGTTATTCTTATTTAATTTTTCCATTTATATAGATTGATTTTCAAGGAAGCTATTTAAAGTGATACAGTTTCAAAAATTGGAAAGATTTTTATAAGAAAATATTTCTTAACATGTTTTTATTGATTCTTTTGATTCAGTAAAAATTTCTAAGAGTAATTTTAGAGACTTACAGAAGTTTTCTTAATGTTAAATATTGCTTCTTTTGCAACTAATGCATTGCATGTGGTGGTTTGCAGTGGTATCATTGGTCGTAGCAGAAAAGATTTCAAGAGATACTTATTCAACTTCATTGCTGCCATGCCTCTCGTAAGTGGAATTCATTAAATTTACACAGGGAAAAACTTCATCCTTCTAAAATCTTTAAGGATATTTACCTACTAAGTTCTTTAAAGATTTATGATACTAAGTTCCTATTTTGAATTTAGTTTTATAATTTATAGTGGAATATTTCAATGTACACCTTTACACTAGATAGAAAAATTAAAAGGAATTATCTTTGGTTCAATTATGTGTATGTGGATGATACATATGTGGAATTTTTAAGTCAGGGTTTCTTGAATGTTTGGTATGTCCCACCAAGTGGCAGTGGTTCCCAGCCCACCCCACAGTGTGACAGCCAAAGCTCTTGTGGGGCAGAGGTCTCATTGTGGGGCAAAGTCACTCTGATTCGTGTTTATTGTTTTGGTCCACAGTATTATAGTGGATTGTATTTTAAGTTAAATTGGAAGTTATTATCTGAATTTATTAAAAACAAAGGCGAGCACTTGGCCTAATTATAAGTGATTTTCTTAGCTTGGCTTTTTATTCTATTTTATTGGCATTATAAGAAATTTAGTATTTTAAATGTGGGAATAAAAAGGAGGAGCTTGATTGTAAAATTCAATTAATTAGATTATATATCAGATTTAATAAAACTTGAAGGTGGACATTCATGGTTTTTAGACCTTTTAATATAAAAGTTTGAGATAAATAGCTTAGATATTAAAAATTGAGATTCAGCAGGAAATCAGTGTTTTCTTAAGAAAAATTTTATGTAAATATGACTTTGGAACTATGGAAGAATTAATTTTGATATAATGATGGAAAAGAGTACTAAATGTGACTCTAGAAATAATCTGGAAAATGGCATTAGTAGATATAAGACTTTTACTACTTTTTTCAACAAATGCAAATGCATTATGTATAGAATTCCATTGTCTGGGATTGTAACACTGGTAGTAGGAAGCAGAAAATATAAACATAAAAGTCGGTACTCCTAAAAGCATGTCCTTTACATTAGACAGGTGACTTAGCTGTTTTTTGTGTACAAAGGTAGCAAGATGCTTCTTATAATTAATGATATTAACATATTCTAAAATTAAGTTCCAAGTAAAGTTTAACATCAGGATAATAGAGCTTTTGGTTTAGTATGTTCTCTGGTCTCTGTGTAAATTTTAAGTAAAACAACTGAATTATATAAATTTGAACTATTATAAAAATGATAGGATTTGGAGACATAGCCAATGACAGAGAAATAATTTATGATTTAGTAAAGAAATGAAGCAAAACCAATAATATGTGTTTGTTTGTTTTAGATTTCTCTGGTTAATAACTTCTTGAAGTTTGGGTTAAATGAGCTCAAACTGTGCTTCCGAGTAAGACTAACTAAATACCTCTATGAGGAGTATCTACAGTAAGTAATAACCTATTTTTATATTAAAAATACTTAAATTGAACAGTAATACCTAGCATATTGAGACATAGAAGTTTTTCTTTTTTGTTGGCTATGTTTTTCAAGAAAATTACCCTTAGACCCAGAAACATATAGCAACAGATTCTGTATTTAGAATCTGTAATTCTGGCTCTTCCATTAATTGGTAAGTCATCCTTCTTTAGAATTGCTTCCTCGACTTTAAAATAAATTAAGACAATCTGGGTCCTCTTCCAGCTCCAGACTTTTCTGTTTCTATTAATTTAAACTATGTGGGATAATGTGATTTTTTAAAAATATCATTTGTTTTAAATTTATTTTCTTATTACTATTTTAGAGCTTTCACATATTATAAAATGGGAAATCTGGACAACAGAATAGCTAATCCAGACCAGCTGCTTACACAAGATGTAGAAAAGTTTTGTAACAGTGTAGTTGATTTGTATTCAAATCTTAGTAAGGTAAGTTTCTCTCTCTTTTTTTAATTATTTGTTAATCTGTTGAATTTTAAATCTAAACAAATTTATGTAGAATTGATTTGATGGCTATAACATCATATAAATATTTAATGCTTTTATAAGAAAATTAGAGTTCTGGTTTTATCTGTAATTATTTAATTTTTAATATTACATTTATGAGATGCTTTAACCAAGAACTAAGAATTTTAGTGTCTCTTAAAGATTTCATAAGAAGATTTCAGGCTGATTTCAATCAAAGAACATAAATTTAAATGTTTATCTTTTGACCTGTGTACTTTTGGCAATTGTTAGAGATTGGCGCGCAATTTATGCTTTCAGTTCTACATCCATTAACAGACATTAGGCTAGCACTTCTTCCTGCCCATTTCTCTCCTTCAGTAGCTCTAAATCTATTAGATCATTTAAATAATAGTCAAAAACCTTTCATAAGGTATTAATTTATTTCAGTTATTTAATTACTGTTTCTACCCCTTCTCAGAATATTGCCAGGGCTCTTGATTCAGGTGATGGGCTTCCTTCCTGCTAATTTCTTCAGTTCTTACCTATCTCACTCATGTTATCTTATACCCCTTACAGCTTTTGCTACAGTCTTCTCATTAAGCTATCTTCTTTGCCATTACCGTCTGCATTGACTAGGACATGTAGTGGCACCTGTAAGACTGTGTGCACCGCACTCCCTACCTTCCCCCTTCATTTTAGACCTACCTTCCCTCTTCATTTTAGATGATGCTTCCTCTCCCACTTCAATCCACATGACTGCTCTTGGTCTGGAGTAGGAGGTTGTTTTATTTTATTTTTTATTTTTTTAGATGTTATTTATTTTTTATAGAGGGGGAAGGAAAGGAGAAAGAGATGGAGAGAAACATCAGTGTGTGGTTGCCCCTCACATGCCCCCAACTGGGGACCCAGCCCACAACCCAGGCATGTGCCCTGACTGGGAATCGAACCGGCAACCTCTTGGTTCACAGGCTCACACTCAAGCCACTGAGCTATACCAGTTAGGGCAGGAGGTGGTTTTAGACTGGACCATTTATAGTATTTTTGCCTCTGGTCATAACTGATCCAGATATTCACAGACAAGGGGGTTGTATTGTAAGACTAGGAATGCTCTGCTTCAAACATGTGGATGGAGGGAGGATAGGCAATTCTTAGAAAAGTCACATGTATCTATAAGAGCTTCACCCCCCAATAGGCCAAGATACCTTTTCACTTCATGCCAAACTTTGTTCTTTACTGAGTTCTCTAGAAGCCTTTGCTAATAACTGATTCCAAACTCTAGGAACTCTGACAACTACAAATTGTTCAGTAATTCAGCTTTCTTTTCTGTTCCCATTACCACATTTTAAAGTTTATTCTATATGCATGTGATTGTGGGGGAGGGTGTGTATAGATAAAATTTTTCATGTAATTCTGTAGGTTTGTAGTCTTTACATCCTCTCAGTTGAGCAAGTCTATAGCTCAAGTCTTGTCACATCTGCAATAGGATAAAATATCAAATTAATTGGAGTAGTGTTATGTACTATAATATATTTACTTTTTAACATTATCTAATTTTTTGAACTTTGACATATGTCATTATTTTATCAACTTTTAAATGTACTTGAATTTCACAAGTATGTCTAGCTTCTTGATAGTATTTATAAGACAAAAAGAAAAGGTTCACCTTAGTACAAGCCAATTAATAAACCAAGTCATCTATCCTAGTAGTGTACATATTAGTCAGTAAGTGGTGACTGTCAACTTAAGTGAATGAACACAGTTTGGGTTTCTTGGAAAACACTTCGAAAAACTCTTTTAGTATGCCCTGCCTGGGTGACTCATTTGTTTGGTGAGTTGTCCTGTACAACAAAAGGTTGTGGGTTTGGTTCCTTGGTCAGGGCACATACCCAGGTTGAGGTTTTGTTCCCTGATCAGGATCAAAAATAAGAGAGGCCACCTCATTAATTTTTCTCTGTCACATCTGTCTCCCCCCAATCAATAAATATATCTTCAGGTGTAGATTAAATTTTTCCATTTTTAAAGAACTCTTCAATTATTAACAAATGTTACCCAAATAAGTTCAATAAAAAGTAAAAGAAAAACCCCACTTTTAGTATGTCGGTTGAGCTGTCTCTGTGTGAGAACCTTAATGTATTGTTTTAGTTCTAGAAGTGTGAGTTTTATATCATAAAATTATATTCATAGATAGGCTTACTCAGTTACTTCAGCATGTAGATATTATGATAAAATAATAGAATTAAACAGTATTAAGAGCAGGAAGAACCTCTCATTTTTACAGGTGAAGATATATAGAAACCAGAAAAGCTGGTAGCAGATTTGGGGTTATGACCTGGGTCATTTTATTTAGTGTCTTTGTACTACCTTAGAAATTACTTAGTTACTAGTGGTTAATTGTCACAGAGGGAGCTACCTTAGTTGATGGGAAGTGATAAATGTTTTTCCTACTTGATAGTAGACATTGGTCAGGCAGTCTCCATTTTCTGTTTCTTGATAATAAGAACTGTATCTTTTATATATTGATTAATCTACTTGCTGTTACATTACATCTAGTTCCTTTTAATTTTGTACCTTCTAATACTTATTTTACAGCCATTTTTAGACATAGTTTTGTATATCTTCAAGTTAACAAGTGCAATAGGAGCTCAGGTGAGTTTACTTTTATTCTGCCTTTTAAATTGTTCTAATGCTAATTATGAATAGCTGGATGGCTTGTGAGAATTTTTTTATATCTCAAGAACATGTTTTTACAAGACGTTCTGATTAAGTCTGGTTATAAAATAATGCTGTACTGAGGATTCGAAAATTATTCTAATTTGACTTTTTACTTTTCCTTAAGTCAGATGCTTGGAAAACTTTTGTGATATTAATAACCTTAAGTATAGTGTTTAACATTGAACATACATGTACTTATTGTTGCAAAGTAATGACTAAAAAGAGATTTGGAGATAGCCATTTTAATATGAAATTTGAATGTTAAAATATCAGGAATACCTTTAGAATGGTGGCTGTACCAATGTCAAGACTATTTTAGGATAATATAAATGGTTGACTATCCCGTGAGCCTTATTACCCAGTCTCCGGTATTTGTGTTGGTGAGAATGACCTTTACCTTTCCTGTGTATATTCTTATTGGAATTTAACTTCAGTCATTTAATATGTAATGTTATTGTTATATATTTATAGCAACCATATAATAGTGTAGTTGGTTTATGTTTAAATATGTAAACATGTTGTACGTATGTACATTTTGTAGTTAATGTTAATAAACAGTTTGTATAGTGATTTTTTTGTTCCTTTCCAAAAAGCTGGGAAAAGCAGTTTTTAATTTGAAGTTTTTTGTCTACCTTCCTTTTTGCTATCTCATGACCAGATTTAATCATTACTATATCATGTTTTTGTTATAAGAGGTACATAGGCCTGATCCCTCTTCTCTGTGTTACAATTTTTTTACGGTACTTATTTGATTTTTATAATATTTCAACATATCCCTATTGAATATATATATCTCCACATACATTGAAGTATTTCTGTTATGTGATTCTGCCTTTCTTGAAGGTAGAAACTATGTTTTAGTTATCTTTTTACCCATACTTGTATAATTGTTAAAATGCATAGATTCAATTATAATTAATTTAAAAAATCTTGAATATATACACTGTGTTCCACACATACTGTTCTGTGTAATAGGAATGAAAAGATGAGTAGGACAGTTATTACAGGGAGGGATTATGATCTAGTAAAAGAGATAGATATTCAAACAATTATAATACAGAGTGCTAAATCCAATTATAGAAGTTTGAATAAAGTGTTTGGTGTTGGAAGAATTGGAGGTGCTATTTGAGGTGCTTTGAGGAGGATGAGTAGGCATTTGTTAGATTTGCCAGGGTTGCCAGACATATGAACAACTTCATTGAAGGGCATGTTCAGGAAACAATTATTTTAGTATGGCAGAACATAGTGTATATATAGAAATGAGGTAAGTAAGTGTCTGTGATGAGCTTGGAAAGGTCAACTTGAGGCTTGTGACTTGGGATGGTCAGTGGGTGATGAGGTCACTGGGAGCAAGATGTATGAGAATGGAAAGGCAGATGGAGCTTGCTTGGGGGGACTAAGCTTGAGGCTCTACAGAGCAGTGAGGTGAAAATAAATAGTACTTATTTGGAAAAAGTGTCAGATTTTTAGAGTGATGGGACTAGAGATGTAAATTTGTGCAAAAAGAGCTAAGGAAGAAACCTCAGAGAATATTAATATTCAAAGAGTAACTAAAAAGGAGATCTGAGTTATTGTGGAATCTTGAGGAAATATCAAGAAGAGTTCCATCAGAAGAGTTTCAGATGCCTTAGAAAGAGTGATGACTGCAGGTAGGAGTTTTAGGGGAGCATATTTAGGAGAGCTGGGAGGTGAGCGTCAGTGATGCACGGAGGAGTAGATAAGTGGCAAAAGCATAGATGTCCAGTGTCTATTTTTTTAGAAGAGAAACAAGGGGAAAAATTAGTCAAAAATCAACATCTCTCAAAGTCAAGAATTAACTATATAAATTGTGCATGTTGCTTTCAGATTTATTAGATATACTTGAACTCTGTATCTTTCCCTTGCAACAATAATAGGGCCCAGCAAGTATGATGGCCTATTTACTTGTTTCTGGGCTATTCCTAACTCGACTCAGAAGACCCATTGGTAAGATGACAATAACTGAGCAAAAGTATGAAGGAGAGTATAGATACGTTAATTCCCGGCTGATCACAAACAGGTAAGGAGAAATGTATTCAATGTATTTATCTGCACTAAAAATTTATTTTTATGGTTATTGATGTCACGTAAGTTGACTTCAAAAAGTCTAGTAACACTGTTACTGAAATTATGTGTGTGTGTATATTTACCACTTTTGAAAATACACATTTTGAAAGATACCAGTTTTATAATCCTTTTTGTAGATAGCCTTAACTATGTAGTATCTGATTCACCTCTTCATGTTGTTTACTGACTAATGAGTGACTAATTTTCTGTTAATTGCACCTTAAACATAGTCAAAATACAATTCAGATTTATTTATAATACTTAAAAAATTTTGTCTCATTGTGTCCCGAATATTTTTGTTTGAGACTGTGTTTAGAACACTCAGTAATTCAGTCTCCCTGCATGTGCCTCTCCTTATTTTCCAGATGTTTAAAAATCCAAACTAGGAAGAAAAAGTATTGTGCTTTGGAAGCAGCCTGACTCTTTTCAAAATCTGTCTCCTCCATTTATCTATTACATATTCAGTGGTTTTTGGCAAGTTATGTATATAGCTTCCCTCTTGTTTCTAATAGGCAGATAACATAGGGTTACTGTAAGGATGAGCATGAAATATATATAAAACTTACAGCACAGTTTTTGATATGTAACATGTGTTCAATAAATTTTCTCATATATCAATCTGTCAACCATAAGTCATTTTTAGGGTCCTAATATTTACTACCCTATAGGCATTTACAAAATTACTTAGGAAATTACTCTTTTAATAGTTCCCTCTTACTTTATCTCCTTGGAGTGCTAAAGTGATACCAGTTTTAAATAGGGTTTTAAATTCTAGGGAGGCAGAAGAATAGATGATTGAGTAGAGAGATGACTTGTGACTGAAATATGGTATCAGCTAGAATTCTTTCTATTGGAAGAAACAGAAAACCCTGACTCAGAGGTCCTAACAATAAAGACATTTACTACTTCACACAAGAACTCTTAAGATAGAGTAGTTCTAGGCCCAGTATGATCGGGGCTGTGATTCTTCTTCTTCTTGTTTAATTGTTGACACTATTACAGATGTTCCCCATTTCCCCTCTTTTGCTGACCTCCACCCAGCCCTGACCCCTCCTCTGGCTCTTTGATATTCTCCTTGGTCTGTTCTCCTTTGTACATTGCCCCTTTCCTCAGCCTAATTTTTCCTATAATCACAAGATATCAAAAGCAGTTCCAGATCTCATGAACTTTCCTTCCCTGCAAAAAGTCCAGAAACAAAAATGGGGCCACCTCTTCTGCTGTAAGAGAGCAAGGAAACTTTCCCAGAAGCCCTACAGCGGACTTTCTTTCACATCTCATAGGCCAGAATTAGTATTTGCTCATTTGTGCCTAAAGCAATTACTGCAAAGTGATGGGCTTAGACCATTTGGAACTCATCCTCGGTAGATGGGGTTGAAGCCATTACCAAAGCATTTGGATGCACAGAAAAGGATAGATTACTTTAAGAAGATTGGAGTTCTCTTAGGAGAAAAGATGAAGAAGAGAACAGATGTTGGATACGCAGCCATCAGTGCTGTAGGATGTTTTGTCTCTTCAGGTTTTAGAATAGGGCTAAAATGACTCAGTTTAGGAGACGTGTGGAATTTTCCCTCACCTTCCTCTATAGACTTAAATTTGCAGAGGAGATAGAAAGAAGTAAGAAAACTAATTGTAGGTGCAGAATTGTGTTTCTTAAACTGGGATTCTGATCCCTTGGAGCTCTGTATCATTGTGTCAGGGGATCCATGAAGCAGGTCAAACATGATACATCTTTATGGAAAGTTAATTTTACTCGAAAGGGTTGAAATGGGAGTTACCTTGTTTTTGTGAGGGGAAAGATACAGGTGTGTTTTGGAGTAGAATATAAAAACTATTAAGAGAAAAGAGACTAAAGAAATATTAGGTATTTGTCAAAGGCTGTTTTAACTGTGCCTTCAGGACTTCTGTGTAAACCTGTACTCTCTTCTGCTGTAAGAGGAGTTTGCTAGGAAAGTTTACATCATACTGAATAAAATGGAAAGGGTGGAGTTTAGGGTCAGATATGGTCAATTATAATCTCAGCTGTATGACTTGAGCAAATTTACTTACCTACACTGAACCTTTCTTCATCTATAAAAATACCCTTTCATTTCTAGTTAAGATTCTTGTGGCACTTGTGGACCCATTCAGACCAGCTTAAGAAAACGGAAGTTGTTGTGTGGATATGAACAAGAATAAGAACAATTATGCAGCTAGGTCTCCTGGGAGCTGGCACTGTGAAGGCATGAGGACCTACTTACTTTGCTTTTCTGTCTTTCAAAGGTTGTATGTCATGGCATCACTACCTATCTTTTCCTAGCTGTTGATTTCTCCTCTCCTTCCTACCTGACTCTGTACTCTATCTGTGATCTATGATGGCCATCTTAGCCATCCCTTCCTGCATATCATGGCGGCTTCCTTCTTATTCTTTATTCCGATTTCTGAAAATTAGCCCAGCACATTTTTTTCCAGCCAGATTACATATGGATATGCAACACATAGGCGCAGTCTAGTCTGTGATCTAGTCAGATAGGTATTTCTGTTTCTGTGCTCTGATCAGTTGAGCTAGGAGCTGGGTCTAGACCAAGTGTAGAACATGGCTTGAGTTGTACTTTATAAGCACTTCATCACAAAATGTCCATTTGAATAAAACTGTTTAATTGTAAAATACTGTATTACAGTAATTTTTAGGCTTGGGTAACATTAAAATTAATTGCTAAATTATTTTTTTAATAGTGAAGAAATTGCCTTTTATAATGGGAATAAAAGAGAAAAGCAGACAATCCACACAGTCTTCCGAAAACTGGTAAGATAACATGCGTGAGGCTCATGTATTTATGGAAAGATTTTTTTTGGCTTATTCCAAGATGCAAATATATATCTTTAATTTTAAGATATTTATTTTAAAAGCTATACAGGATTTTTATAATGTGTTTTCATAAAAAATAAGAGAATAAATGCTTTCATATCAATATGTTAAGTTGTCTAATTATAAAATGATAGATTCATTAAAATAATTGTCAGTATATTTTTACAGAGATTGAATAGGAGTCTTATTGATAAATTTAGTGATTCCTGTGGGAAGTTTGTTCCCATAGCATTCATGAAAACACTGTGAAGATTATTATTTAGAGCAGGGGTCAGCAAACCTTCTCTGTACTATCCTTTCTGTAAAGGACATGATAATACACAGTTTAGGCTTTGTAGGCGTTGTGGTCTCTGTTGCAAGTGTTCTACTCTGCCACTCAAATGTAGCTATCTACTATATGTAAATGAATGAGGGTGGCTATGCTCTGTTCAAACTTTTATTAACAAAAATAAGTAGCAGGCTAGATTTGGACCATAGTTTGCTGACCTTTGATTTAGAATATAAACATTGTGTCTTATGGAAACTGCATTTCACTTTTTATTGACTTACCACTTGGAAAATTTGAATTCAAGTAATTTTATTTATTATTCATTCCAAAGACATCGAGGGCCACCTAGGTGCTTGTGCTTGTTCCAGGTGCCAGTGTGTTAACAGTGGTGAACGTGATGGCAAATGTCTGTACATATGGAGCTTATATTTTAGTGGACACTGGTGAAATTAAATATATATTTGAAGTGATTTAAAACTATTAAAGTGGCCCTGGCTGGCATAGCTCAGTGGATTGAGTGCAGGCTGCGAACCAAAGCATTGCAGGTTCGATTCCCAGTCAGGGCACATGCCTGGCCATGGCCCCCAGCAACTGCACATTGATGTTTCTCTCTCTCTCTCTCTCTTTCTCTCTCTCTCTCTCTCTCTCTCTCTCTCTCTCTCTCTCTCTCTCTCTCTCTCTCTCTCCTCCCCCCTTCCCTTCCTTCTCTAAAAAATAAATAAAATCTTAAAAACTATTAAAGTGGCTATCATTTTAAATTATTTCATAAATTGGATTTTTGCCTTGTTTATATTTAACATGACTGAATTTGGTAGTGCTCACTAAAATGCTTTTAAGGAATTTTTCCAGGGGCCTGCTGTTCACCAGTCCACTCTTCACATGGCTTGGTTATACTTAACCTGTAGATTTCAGTCCCCAAATTTACACCTTATATGAGGCCTTGCCTTCTCTGATTAGTCCATCTGAAATGGCCTCCACCAGTTACTTTCCATTTTAATGATCTGTTTCTTTAAAAGCATATATTGCAATTTATAATTATGTTATTTGTTTGTTAGTTTGTCTTTTTCATTAGAATATAAACTCCATGAGCTCAGGGACTTTGAAGTACCTTCAGTATTGAGCATAGAATGTAACCCATAGCATTCATTGAATAAATGTTCCAGCCATTGTTCTTTTGCAGATCAAAGCAAGAGCAACTACCTTGTATTTAGGAAATGCACATTTTAGTGGAGGAGAGAATAAACATGTAAATAACTGGATGTTTGATGTGACTTCAGATGGTAATGAATTGGGATAAGTGGTAGAGAGTATGATGGAGGCTGTTGCCCAACTATTTTAGCTGGGATGGTAGGAAGGTCTTTTTTGAGGTCGCATTTCATCAGAAGCCCACTTGACGTGGGTGTGTTAGTCACAAAATATCAATATCTAGACAGCATTCCCGGCAGAGAGCACAGTACGAGGAAAGCCTTAAGGCAGGAGCATGTTTGCTACTGGAACTCAGTGAGAAGGAGCGAAGTAGAAACAGATGGGGTTTGAGATAGAGCCGAGTGCCAGATCATGCAGGACCTTGAATAATCTGATAGATGGTTAATTTGAGAACATTAAAAAAGCAGAACATCTTTAGACTTGTCATTTTGAGATAATGCATGCCAGATAAAGCTATGTACTCAGGCTGTGTGGCATTAACTCATATGAGTTAATACAACTCATTACAGACCACGTGTCTCCAACTAAAGCAAAGCATCCAGTGCCAATCTGGATTGCTAGTGTTTCACCTAAATGAAGCCCTCCTTTTGTTTTTGCTTGTGTGTTTATTTAGATAATTATTGATCAATAAGCTAAACAAAACAAAGCATATATGTATCTGACAGTATCATGAATAAATATCATTGTACTATTACATGCAAGGGATAGCACATGAGCATTCTCTGTGTAATAATTTTGATTCTGTTTGTATAGAAATGGTTTCATGAAGTGTTTGTTTGTCACCTGTTCTGTGATCATCATTGTGCTGGATGAAATGTGGTGTACAGTATAATCAGAAATCATATGCACTCAGTAAATACTTGTTGGATAAATATATTATACAGTTTTTTTAACCCTCATTGTAGATTCATTTTTTAAATACATAGAAAATAATTATTTTTTCATTTTTGCTTTCTGCCAGGTGGAACACCTACATAATTTCATTTTCTTTCGGTTTTCTATGGGCTTCATTGATAGCATAATTGCCAAATGTAAGTACGCTTTAAAAGAGATGGTGGAATGAAATTTGTGGGAAAAGTGAAGTATGGAAATATTTTAAATTATAATTGTTTTGTTTCAGATCTTGCCACTGTAGTTGGTTACCTAGTTGTTAGCCGTCCTTTCCTAGATTTGTCTCATCCTCGACATCTCAAAAGTACACATTCAGAACTTCTAGAGGTAAAATAGTAGTAATGCTAATAAATTGAAAACTTAAATATAAAAATAAATAAAACCTAGTTTTTAACCTTAGAAATTACTGTATTTTGCCAAGTATATGGTCTTCCACGTATAATGCATACCCATGTTTTTTACCCAAACTTCCAGAAAAAATATCTTTCGTTTTAATTTTTTAATTCAATTTTTTATTTATATTTAGAAACAAAACTGATTATCATATTACAGGGTATTATTTTGCGTGCAGATATTGTTATTGCTTTCTAGAGTTATACTTAATACGTATGCATAAATAGAAAAATTAACATTTATATAGATATGGAATTAGTACCACCCATGTATTATGCACATCCTTATTTTTCCCTTAAAAATCTGAGCAAAAATGTGCACATTATATATGGCAAAATATGGTAGGTGAAGATATTTATTTCTTTTTAAGGATTACTACCAAAGTGGAAGGATGCTTTTGCGAATGTCTCAAGCTCTGGGCCGAATAGTTTTGGCTGGCCGTGAAATGACTAGATTGGCTGGGTAAGTAAAATTAGTAATAATGAGCAATTTTAGAGAATGATTTTTAAAAAATACATTACCCTTAACGATTGTGCCCAGTTGAAGTTAAGATCAGTGATAACTGAAGCTGCTGCTCCTGAAAGCTGGTTTTGATAAAGAATTAAGATTTTTCTGAACTTTTACTGAACTTTTCAAGTTTCCTTTAGAAAGTTTTTTGAGCTTTAAACTAGGTTAGGGGTTGTTAAACTACTTCATGGGCACTGGTATTCAGTAATTTGGGAAATGTTGAATCATTTATTAATTCACAGAAAATTAAGTTAATGACTAGCATCTTCTCAATTTGAACTTTCTTTCTCTCACTATACATTTTTTTCTTAAATCTTTGATATTGGCAACATAGCAAAAAATGAACAAAGATGAAATTGATTTTAATGGAAAAATAAAAGCTGCTTTGTATCTGTAGGTACAGTTGTAAATATGGCCATATTTGGCCATATTGGCTAGTAAAATTGTTCTTAGCCCGTAAAATGGAATTAAATATTTCAGTATGTCAAGCTCCAATACAAAGGGTAGGTATGGTATAAAAAACATTCCCTCGGTGGTGTGGCTCAGTGGATTGAGCACTGGCCTACAACCCAAAGGGTTGCCAGTTTGATTCCCAGTCAGGGTTGCGGGCCAGACCCCAGTAGGGGGTGCGTGAGAGACAACCACACGTTGATGTTTCTGTCCCTCTCTTCTCTCTCTAGAAACAAATAAATACAAAATCTCTAAAAAAATTATAAAAAAGCGTCATAGGTTTCAGGTCATCTAGAAGAATTTGATGGCTTAAGATCTTTCTCAGGCCTGTGATTCATCTGTACATTTCCTCTTCTTTATTCCTGCTCTTTTACTCCTGTGACAGTTAAGGTCTCCACAGCAAGAGAGAAGTTGTAAACCACCATGAGGAGTCTGTTTCATTTGAGATGCTGATATTCTTCCTACTTGTTAATAACTTTTTTGTGCCTTTACAGTTCATGGCATGTGGGGTGCTTCTGTTCCTTTAGCAGATTGCTGCTTGTTAATTCACAGAGAAATCCTTTTTTGTGGAATGCCTTCTCTTTGACCATCATGTCATTTTTATGTGCCTCAACCTCTTGTCATTAGTTTTGATTTCTCTATTGCTGCAGCGATTTTCATCTAATATTAAGAATACTTTATTTTTTCCTTTCTTTACTATAAGAGAGGAATCTTCCAAATCTTCCACGTTTGCAGGTAGGTAGCAGGCACTTGGCGTATATATAATAAATACCTATATAGAAGGCCATCATTATACAAGGCTTTATAGCTCTCTCCAGTGGGAACGCAGGGTCCATACTTTCTGGGCCTATGGAATGTACTATTACTAGTCCTTTTGTGGTATCTACTAGAAACTTACAATTCTAGCAGCAAACCACCTTCTTGATTTACCTACTAAGAAGTATCTGTTGAGGTAGGAAGCCTATGAAACCTCTTCCTTACCCCCATTTTTCTGCTCTCTTGCTGAAACATAATAGTGAAACAAGCATACTATCACAACATATATTTTATGTTGATGAGACTTGTTATTTTATTTAAACAAAATTATAACTTTAGAAACTTTAGTTAAGTCTATATAAAATAAAAGATATGAATGCCTACAATGTTATATGTCAGTTTTACCTCAAAAAAGTAAATAAATAAATAATGTAAAAGGTACGATAGCCTATGGAAATTTGATCATAGCTTTTTTTTAAATTTCAGTTTTACTGCTCGGATTTCAGAATTAATGCAAGTACTAAAGGATTTAAATAATGGAAAATATGAGCGCACAATGGTCTCGCAACAAGAAAAGGGTAAATATGAATGCACCAAGTCACATAGTTTAAGTTTCTGCTTTAATACATGATGTAATTATGATGCTTTAACATTTATTTTCCATTTAAGGAGCACAAAGCATTCCCTTGATTCCTGGTGCTGGAGAAATCATCAATGCTGATAACATTATAAAGTATGTACGGAAACATCTGTTAAACTACATAAGACTCAGCTACATTTACTTAGTGTTTAATGTAAAATTATCCTTTTTTTATTCATTTCTTCTATAGATTTGAGCATGTTCCTTTAGCAACACCAAATGGAGATATCTTGATCCGAGACCTTAATTTTGAAGTAAGTTGTTAAATGATTGTATAAAAGCTTAACTCATCTTCAAAATGTGAAATGAAACGTGGCTATCTGAATATTTAAAATAATTTTCAGGCTTAATCTCTGAATATACAAAATTGCTTTAAAAAATAAATGTTAGAAATAACTTAGAAATCTTAATTTTCTTAATTGGCAGGATTTTAAAGTTTCAAATATTTGTGTTAAAAAAGTCTTTGGCAAATAAAGTCCCATGGCTAGTGCAACTGAGAAACTGAACTTTAAATTTTATTTAATTTTAATAAATTTGCCTGTGATTAGCAGACAGCATAGTGGAATATTTTAATTGGTAAAAAATATGGTGGGGCAGAGTATTTGTTGCTTCATTAATCCAATCCAGGAACCTCAATTATAAAGTGTTGTTATGAATTCAGTTTTCAGTGAAAGTTACCCTTGACTTTTAGCCCTAATTCATTCCAGAAAAAAACACATTTTAATAAATCTTTATTATGGAAAAATTATCATGGGCTTACCATGACTGATAACCATAATTGGGAAGTTTCGTCCAATGTTACCAGAAGCCATGGAATAAAAAAAAAGTTAATATTGAAAATAAGACATTTTGGCATTAGAGAGTACCTAAGAATGTCCATAAATCACATTATTATATATATATTTTTAACAATTTCTTTTTTTAAGATTTTATTTATTTATTTTTAGAGAGGGAAGGGCGGGACAAAGAGAGAGAGAAACATCAATGTGTGGTTTCTGGGTGCCATGGCCTGCAACCCAGGCATGTGCCCTGACTGGGAATAGAACCTGCGACACTTTGGTTCACAGCCCGAGCTCAATCCACTGAGCTACGCCAGCCAGGGCTCATTATTATTTTTATACATTATTACAAATTTGGTATTAGGGTTTTGTGGCATATTGAAACAAATGTGTGGAGAAGTATTGGATACCAGTAAAAATTATGAGCAGTGAGGGGTAGGAAAAAATATATAACATTACTCAAATAAACCACAGTAGTTGGGAATCATTTAATTAACAGGCCTCTGAACTGTGGGAGCTTGTAAAGATGTCACTCTTTTAGAAGAGTAAAATCATTCTATATAATAACCTTGTACTATTAGGAATATTCATTGTATTCTATTTTACAGGAAAAGGAAATAGGTAATTGCACATAAAGAAGTCCATCAGAATGATTCTTTAAAGTAATTTCTCAGTTCATTCATCTGGAAAAGTCATTCAGAATAGTTTATTCTCTAACATTGATTGCATAAGGTGTGGTCAACTATGTGGTAGGACAGTAACTCTCAACCTATTTTTAGAAGCTCATCTTTTTCCCTGTTTTATTGTGGTAAAATATACATAACATAAAATTCAACTCTTTTAACCATTTTTTAGTGTGCAGTTCAGTGGCATTAAGTACATGTATGGTGTTGTGCAACCATCACCACTATCTCCAGAACTTTTTCATCGTAGCACACAGGAAGTGTGTGCCTGCTAATCAGTAACTGCTCATTTTCCTCCTCGCCCCAGGCCCTGGTAATCTTTGTTCTATTTTCTGTCTCTATGAGTAGGACTACTCTAGGTACTTCATGTAAGTGGAATTATACAGTATTGATCCTTTTATGTCTGACTTATTTACTTAGCATGTCTTCGGGGTTCATTCAGGTTATAGCATGTTTTAGAATTTTATTAAGGCTAAATAATATTCCATTGTATGTTTATGTCACATTTTGCTTATCAGTTCATTCTCTTGAGTCATTTTTTTGCTATTTTGAATAATGCAAATAATTCTTCATTTCATGACAGCAAAAACTTTCAAAAATCCTTTCAGTGTCTTCATATGCCTTGTAGGATTTGCCTGCCACTACCCAGACCCCCACCTCTCACCTGTCCTCACTCATTTCCTACTACTGTTCTCTCCTGCTCATTTTTCTTCAGCCAGATCAGCCTCCCTTTTGCTTTTTGACTAGAACAGGTACATTCCTGCCTCAGTGCCTCTTAATCAGCTTTTTGTGGCAGGGTTGAGGGTGAAACAATCTTCTCCAGATAAATTCCTAATTCATTACTTCTTTCAACTTTTGTCCAGTTGTCTGGCCTGGTCCCCTTAAAATGCAGCCTCCTCTACCACTCCCAGGTTTCTTTACTCTGATCGTTTTTTTCTCCATAGAACTTATTTTCTAACATTTAATTAGCTCATTTCTGTGTGTCTTAATCTTAAGTCTCTCCCACTAGAATGCAGACTGGTAAGGAGAGGGTTTGGAGTTTTTTTTGTTTGTTTTGAGGGATTTTGGTCTCTCTCTTTTTTTAACTAATGTAGCTCCATTGCCTAGAATAGAGACTGACACTGAGCATTTAATAAATATTCATTGAATTAAAAATAGGCTCAACAGTTATAAATTGTCTAAGGTAAGTTCCACACTTCGGGTGACTCATGTTTCTTTGTTGTCTTCTTTCCTGCTGTGTACATTGCTGTATAATGTGTAAGCTGGATTATGAGCCAAATTTTTTCAGTCTTTACAGGGTTAACACTTACAAAACTGTAAGCTTAAGAACTTAACTGGTCTTTTTTACATTTTCTCCTTTAACTTCATGTTGTGGCAGAACAATTTGGTGGCACTTGTAAATATTTGTAGTTCATATACACTTCGATCCAACACTTATTTCTGAGCATCTGAATTATAGAAACATTCCTTATTAGTGCATGAATTTACGCACTGTCATGCAGGTTCATCATACTGTTACGTAAGAGAACAAAACAAAATGCAGACAACCTAAATATTTGACAAAAGGGGAATATTTAAATAAATTATGGTGCATCCTTACTGTGGAATGCACTGTAAGCATTCAAAGAAAAGAATGAGAGGAATCTGAATATACTGACCTGGAAGAATATATATGATATATTGTCAAATAGTAACTAGAACACATATAGTATGATTCCATTTAAAAAAAAGATTTAAGCCCTGGCTGGCATAGCTCAGTGGATTGAGTGTGGGCTGGGAACCAAAGTGTCCCAGGTTCGATTCCCAGCCAGGGTACATTCCTGGGTTGCAGGCCATAACCCCCAGCAACCGCACATGGATGTTTCTCTCTCTCTCTCTCTCTCTCTCTCTCCCCCTCCCTTCCCTCTCTAAAAATAAATAAATAAATAAAATCTTAAAAAAAAAAGATTTATAGCATAGAATTATAATCAATAATATTGTAATAACTGTGGGTAGTGCCAGGTGGAAATATCAATAGGCAGGGGCAATCACATTGTAAAGTATATGGTTGTCTAACTACTATGTTATACACCTGAAATTAACCATATGGTAATTGAAAAATAAAATTAAAAACTGCATATACATACATATTTGTTGTTTTAAGAATTCTCAAATTTTTAAGTTTTAGCTTTTTGTATTCTGATTGAGATTAAGTTGATAATATCAGTAATGATTTTTAAATTTAAAAAAGTGAGTAAAATTTGAAAGTAAACAAGATAAAGTTCCCTTCACTGCTTCTACCTAACATCACATTTATAGACAAAACTTATCAAAGCTTATCATTAGCAAAGAACAAATGAACTCTAATAAGGAAATGTAATAACTTATTGTGCATAAATTTACTCTAATTAATTAATTTTAGTTTAATTAAATCTATTTAAATTATCCATTAATTCATAACTTTCTTTCAGGTTCAATCTGGGGCCAATGTTCTAATCTGTGGTCCAAATGGCTGTGGAAAGAGTTCACTTTTCCGTGTTCTTGGTGAAGTAAGTACAACTTGGCCTCAACATTTTGCAGTTTTCTTTTGCCATATGATCTACTACATGGTGAAATTTACAACTGCTCCTCCCCACCTCTTTCCTCTTATAGTTATGGCCTCTTTTTGGAGGACGTCTCACTAAACCTGAGAGAGGAAAGTTATTTTATGTTCCTCAGGTAAGACCTTGCTTGAGTTATTTTGTAATTTTTGATTTAAAGATATTTTTATTGTTTAAAAATTCGCTTCTAATAATTTTTGCTCTAACTATTGTCAGAGACCTTATATGACCCTTGGAACACTTCGAGACCAAGTGATATACCCAGATGGAAGAGAAGATCAGAAAAGGAAGGGGATATCTGACCTAGTAAGTAAATGTTTATGTCCTAGACCTGCTGAAAATACTGTGTTTCAGATACTTTTTCTTAATCAGTAAAGTATTTTTAATACCAGGTAGTTTATCCTAATCTGTAAAGCCTTCTAAATCATTGACATTAATTATAATTTCCAAGTTGAGGTAAGATGTTAACCACTTTGCTTAAATATGACTTCTTGAGTGTTTAACCTTGTCTTTGCAGTTGTTTGTTTTCTCACTGCCCTTGTCATTTAATTATGTACAACAGTATTATTCTTACTAAGTTGCTAGATACATTTTGTCAAAGTTAATATAGCCAGGACGTATAGGGTTTAAGGGCTTTCTTCATTCCATATTCTTTTGTGAAGTGTTCCTCTTTAAGTGATATTGGCAACAGAATTATAGCAATTTATTTTAAAAAATAAAGCAAGATAGAGAATGTTGGTTTATATTAAGCTTGATTTCACCCTTAATCATTTTGCTGAAAGGTACTCAAGGAGTATTTGGATAATGTCCAGTTGGGTCATATCCTTGAACGTGAAGGAGGCTGGGACAGTGTTCAGGATTGGATGGATGTTCTCAGTGGTGGAGAGAAGCAAAGAATGGCAGTGAGTATACTCTGATAACATTTTGTAGTAATGTAACTGGTTGATTAATCAAGGCACACATTTTTATTTTAATCTGTTTAATGAGCAATGTTATAGATTAGTTTAAGTGATAGTAAAGGTGTTTCAGAGTAACTTTGCATGCAAATTTGGAATTCTGAATTTTGAATTTTCCTGTGAAAGGAAAAGCTTTAGATCCAATTATATATCATTCATCCATTTTTTTTAAAAGTTGAGGAAACTTTGTACCATATTGGTCCTGGGGACATATGGTAATTCTGGTTGGGTTATGAGATCTTACTCAATATCTTTTCCTGTAGACATCTCTTTGTCTTACTCAGGCTATTCTCTGTCAAGTAGTTGGAGATATTAGAGATGATGAACCATAATTTTATTATCATTTTATTCTTTATTCTGTTCTTGCCCTTTCCCTCTAACGTTGTATGCATCCTTGTTTCAGGGCTCAGTTATCTACTACCTAAAATTGTTTAGAGTTTTAAAATTTTCCTACTCTAAAAAAGTGTTGGGAAGGAACTGTTTTAATTTTATGATTGACTAAACTTACCCCTAATCAAACATGGCTATAAAACACTATATATCAAGAATGATACTTTGAGTTCTCTGTTAAGAGGGATGATTTTTAAAGAGTCATTTTCTAACTGTACATACTATAGTTTGAGCAGGTCTAGAGGAATTTTTTTTTCAGAATGTTAATCTTGTGGAAATTAAAGGAAACTGTAGCCAAGGAAAGACAGCAGAAAAAAATAGCTAATTGCAAAATTGCTTATTCATTATCTTCAGGTTATATTGTAACTTTTCATTGCCTTCTACTCCCTGATTTTTGCATGTTGTTTTCCCCCAAATGCTACCCATTCTCTATGAACTTAATGTCAACCTAATATTATGATTTGTTTGGCTAGTGCTCTCATAAGAGATTGATTCAGAGTGAAGGATGAACAAAAGGAAAGAGAGCTGCCAGCTATTCTCAAAGTGGAAACTAGGCTGAAATAGTGAGAATTTGAAGTGATTGGACACTTCTTGAACGAATTCAGAGAATGGCTATAAAAATAACTGCAAGTCAAAATAACATTGAAATTCTGGTACTATGACTTCAAAGAAAGTGGAAGGGTAGTCAAGATTTATAAATGGACACTATGGACACTCAGAGAAAGAAAAATTAATGTGCATAGCCCCATGTATGTGATATAAAGGTACTGAGGGGCCAGTTTTTACTTGAAGGTAAGAAACTCTAGGACTAGGGGAGTGAGGGGAAATATTAAAGAGTAAGGGAGGGGGGAATGGAGAAGGCTCACCCGTGACACTGCTGCGTGATCAAGCCATTGACTGGGTGCGCGTGTCCTGTGTGGACCAGTGTTTGGAAAATTGAATGTGAAGTTTGAAAGACAGTATATTGTTCTACTACTTTCAGAGGGTTTGTGGGGACAGAGAAAGGCTAATGCAACAAATACTAATATTGATGAAGTTGGGTGAAGAGTATGTGTGTTCATTTTACTGTTTCACTTTTTTTGGTAGGGTTAAAACATTTCAAAGTAAGAAGTTGAGGGAAGACAAGATAGTTTTAATAAATTATAACAATTTATATTAATAAGTTATAAAAGTTACAACTTTTAGGAAGAACACACTTGAAAAGTTTAACCACCAAAAATAGTGAATTTGTAAGAGTAAAGGTTTGTGTGAAACAAATGAACCAAAGAAACCTTTGGGTAAGGAGAGTCAGGATTTGAATCTGAGGAAGTAGAATAAAACTATTGAATAAAAGGGAGTTCTGGTGACAAATTATAAAAGTTCCTCCATTGTAAATATAGAGAAATACAATTACTATTCCATTATTTTAACAGTAAAAAGTCTAATTTAATTATGATATAATTTTGAAAGAGTTCAGTATTAGTCAAATGTCTACCCTTATAATCTAGTTAGGAGATCCAAATATTCTCAACTAGCTGTGTAATGCAAGGCAGTCTTACAGCTACAAAGAAAGTGCACTGGGATAATGAGGAAAAGCCGATTTTCAGTGTCAGGTCCTGTTTAATATTCCCCACAGCCCCGTGAACTAAGGTATGGACAAGGGAAAGACTTGGTGAGCTTAAGCAGCCTACTAATGATACACAGCTACTGAGTGGCAGAACTGAGGTCAGGCGCAGGTGATTCTGATGCCAGAACTCTCGCTCCTCACCAGTATACTATAGCCTTCAACGTGCAGGTGCATGGTCTGGTTCTCGTCTCTCACTGTCCCCTGAAGTCAAGTGACACATCCTTCTGTTGTACCTAGTTGGCCCCAGCCATCATCAGCCTGGGTCGCTCCACCTAAAATCATAAGTTGGTATATCTTATTTCTCTGAATGAGAGTTACCTTTCCCACTTCACTGTTTTTGCTCTTACTGTTTAGTAATGTATTTTCTTATTGTGAATTATATGACACAGAAGTTTGAACATTTATAAAATTATAAAAAAGGCCCCAAACTCTCTTACCAGTGATACCTCTGTCATAAAAGTCTTAGTGTTTTTTAAATCCTTGTAATTATAACAGTTCTTCGTTTACCTAATTGCAAACTATCCTGCTCCTTCAAACTCACTATTTGAGAGTTCTCAAATATTGACACTCCCTTTTCTTGTAAGTGATCAGTTCTCTTCTGACTGCCTCCTTTCCTGTCTAGTACAGATTTAGTAATCCAGGGCCTTGCATGGGACCTGGCGCATAGGAGGGATTCAGGAGGAGGTATTTCCCTAAGGAATAAACAAATGGTCTCTTCCCCTTAACTTCCCTTTTCACTTTTTGTTTCCTCATATTATTAAGCCTCAACCTAAGAGCAGTTGTTTGCCTTGGCATTTCTGCGCATGGGCTTTTGAGCACAGCTGAAAAGATCAGAACGATATGGGTTGATAGGGGTTGGTGCCCCCACACTTTTATGGTGTCCAGTTTTGCAGGTGCTCATAGCATGGCTTGGCAATACTTTTCTTTATTTTCTCTCTCTCTCTTTCTCTCCCATGTTTCATGAAAGTTGTTTAAAAACTACCAACCTCAAGCTTTCTACCCCATTACCTTACCCCACCACTCTCAGCAAAGTAACTCGTCTCCTGCTTCTTACAGAAAAAAAAGAGAAGTTCAGTGACATGATGGCTCATTTTACTGGGTGCTTGATAGATGATAGAAAGTATGCTAGACACTTTGCACAGGTTATCTCATTTAATTCCCACAAGTCCTGTGAGACAAGAACTGTGAATGCCCCATTTTACGGAAGAAATTGAACTGTAGTACAATTAAGTAGTTTGTCAAGCAAAGACAGCTAATAAAAATTAAAGCTGGTAGGGTGGCTTATTAGCTCGGGCAGCATTATGATTGCGGTGTTTATAAGGGCAGGGCAGGGGTTAGGTTTACAGTTGTTCGTATGGAAAATAATACAATAATAAATTATAATACAGGAATAAACTTGCATACTCACAGCTGTAAACCTACTTTTGTCCCATCCTGTACTTAGTCACTTTACAATTTTCTTTTATTGTGGCATCAAGTAGCTGACAGCAGAGTGGGGAGAGACACACAGGAGAATGTTCCCACAGAATGTGGTAAGTGTGGTGATGAAGAATGCAGAGAGTTCATGGGAACACAGAGAAGGGCATTTGCAGCAAACCATCAAATAACCACTCCTCTTAATTAACTTAGCGCTGGGTTGTTCTGACCTCCCTACTTGCACTACGTATAGAGGGTGTGCCATGCTATGCCTTGGGAAAAGCTGAATGTCTTCATTTGTGTTTTTGGATCCTTTCTCCTCTGACTTTATCACATCCCTTTCCTTCAGTTATACAGACATTTATAGATACGCACAGATGCACCCTATATTTAATTTCTCCAGTCTTTCTCTTTCAAAAAGAAATTTTCAGGTTATTCCAATCTAAAAAGCAAACTTGGCCTTCACCAAAGGTCCATACCTTTGTACAGCTGAACTTCTAGATAGTGTCTGTACTTGCTGTTTCCCCTTCCTCACCCCATACAAATAGCTATAAACCCCAAGGTATCTGTTTTGTATGTTTTAGTCATTTATCAGATAGGTGAATGTTTTCATATATAAAGTGTTGGGTGTACAGTACTGATTAAAATGGGGTTTCTGTTTGTGAATATTGTAGCCTAGGGAAGCAAAGAAACAGATAACACACAGTTTAATTCCCGGTATAGGAAGTGTTGCAGAGATGTTAGGAAGGGACCCACTTGGATTGATGGGGAGGGGTCAGGGTAGGTTGCCTGAGGAGGTGACCTTAGCAAAAATTTGAAGGATGCGAGAAGCAAAGTAAGGACTTGGCAACATAAGGAAAGTGACACTGCTAACTAAGCCTCTGAGGCCTGAGACTAGACCTTGTATCCTGGTCGTCGAGAGGAGTTGGTGTTGGCAAGAATGTGGAGCTTAGAGAGTGAGGAGGGGAAAGATTGCATGGGGCCTCATAGGCCATGGTAGGGAATTGGAGTTTTATTTTAAGTGAAATGGGAAGTTGTTAAATGGTTTTAAGCAGAAGAATGAAATCCTGTGATTTACATATCTGAGACCCTCTTCGGTGACAAGGAGAATGGATGGGAGAAGAGTAAAAGAGGAAGTAGGAGCCTCTTTGTGACCACGCAGGCAGAGAATTGTGCTGCAGGCCAAGGGCATGACTGTGGAGATGGGGGAGAGTGGGTGGACTACGTGTGCAACAGGACCCTCTCAAGCAGACGGAAATTGAGGGGTATGGGGAGGTGAGAGGGAAGAGGGACCGGGAAAGGTCAAGAAGGACTCCTGGCTTTCTAGCTTGAGCAGCTGTCTGCTAGTGTCGCTGTCTGAAGTGTTGAATATCAGGGATGATGGATGAATGGATTTTAAGGGAAAATCTACAAAATCTGTATGAATTTTAGATGTTTAACGAGTCCTGTGAGATAGCCAAGTTGAATGATCAAATAAGAATTTTTATATATCAGTCGACGTTAGAAGTATAAACGAGAGATACGTTTTGGGGATTTACAAATGTAAGTAATATTTGAAATCATGAGATTTGATGAGATCACTTAGAGAGATACAATAATAGGGAAAAGAGAAGAGGACCTAGAAGGTAGCCTGAGGAACCCCAACATTGAATGGTTATGTAGAAGAGAAAATACTGGAAAAGAAACTGAGAGAACAGTCTAAAAAGTGGGAAGGAACTTAAGACCATGATTATTTACTGTCACTTTGTCAAGAAGGAGGGAATGGTCACCTGAGTTGAATCTTGCAGAGAAGATAAATTGAGTAACGATAGAAAAGTGCCCATTGGTCTTGCAGCATGGAGATCATTGTTAGGGGCAGGTGACAGATTGGAATATCTGTTAGACAAAGAATCAGAATAAATAATTCCCAGAAAATAAACCACTTATGGAAAGTAAACATTAGAAAATGTCCAGCATTCTTGCTAGTCAAAGAAATGAAAGCTGTAACAATCTTGATGTTAATTTTTACTTATAAATTAGCAAAGACTTTAAGAAACAAGCAAGTCTATAAACAGGTGCGCTCAAAAATGATGGGAATATTAATTGGCAACTTAATGTTAATGGACATTACTTAAGCAACAAAATATTTAAAGATAGATACATTTTTGCACCTCAGTCATTAATATGTCTGAATGCTAAGATTTGGTTAAAATAAGTACCCTGTAATCTTGTGTAGAGAACTTTCTTTAATATTAGGTTAAAACTCAATTTTACCTTATAACAGTCCTAAAAGTTTTGTTTTACTATGAACAATATTTCCCCTGCATTACATTTCTCTCTTTGTTTGGGAAGACAGTAAAAACAAATCAGTGTATTTATATTGTTTTTATTTCTGGGAAATAGATTTTTTTAATTAGAATAATTTTCATGCTTTATAAGACTGCAAGTGCATACTTAAGTAAATCTATTTTAGCTTATTAACTTCTGCATTATACTGAAGTTAATTCTGTCTAATACATTATATGTTAAGTTCTGCATTAGTGTGATCATATAAAATATTTTTTATGTTTTAGATGGCAAGATTATTTTATCACAAACCCCAGTTTGCCATTTTGGATGAATGCACAAGTGCAGTGAGTGTGGACGTGGAGGGCTACATTTACAGTCACTGTCGAGAGGTAAGCAGGGCAGGTTGTCAAGTTGAGGGTCCATGCCCCTCTTCCTGGTTTATTCTGTGTCCAACCAGATATCTGTCCAAAGAGAAGATTCTAAGTTATTAAGTAACAAAATTACTATTAACAGATGATATCTTATGTTAGCAAAGATTTTAAACTGATAAAAGATATGAGTAAAAGAAAAAGTAAATTTATTCTGGCTGGTGAAGCTCAATGGTTGAGCACGGGCCTGTGAACCAAAGGGTCGCCAGTTTGATTTCCAGTCAGGGCACATGCCTGGGGTGAGGGCCAGGTCCCCCCTGCAGGGTGTACCAGAGGCAACCACACATTGATGTTTCTCTCCCTTTCTTTCTTTTTCCCTTCCTCTCTGTCTAAAAATAGATAAAGTCTTTTAAAAAAAGAAAAAGTAAATTTATTATGTATATAATTCCCTTTAGCCAACTCTTAGATATAAAAAAATAATATATTAAAATTTATTTCCCTTTACCTCATTTCCTATTCTGAGAGTTCATGAACTGGTATTTTCTTAATTTGTTTCATTAACTTTATCTAAATGTTATTTGTTGTTTTGTTTTGTTCTTTTCATCAAGAAAGCTCAGCAATAATCACATGGCAACTTTAATTTATCCATTTTTTCCTCTGGCCTGGGCTAGCAGCTTTTTCCGAGTTGTCTGCACTGGTTCCATTCATTTTTTTTTTTTAAAGGATGACCCCATGAATGATTCCTTCCTTTTTTTTTTTTTTTAAGATTTTATTTATTTATTTTTAGAGAGGGAAGGGAGGGGGAGAGAGAGAGAGAGAGAGAGAGAGAAACATCAATGTGCAGTTGCTGGGGGTCATGGCCTGCAACCCAGGCATGTACCCTGACTGGGAATTGAACCTGCAACACTTTGGTTCGCAGCCTGCGCTCAATCCACTGAGCTATGCCAGCCAGGGCTGGTTCCATTCTTTAATTAGTCAGTAGTCTCAGTTTTGTTTTGTTTTTCCCTGTGAGGAATTGTCACTATCATCTATAATCTTCTTGAATTTTCCTAAAAATGTTGAGCAAAATCCAAAAGGATTTTATATAAGTGAATGAAATATCAGAGTCTTGTAGCATTTTGTAACTGTTCTTTGGGAATTTATAATAAATATAAAAGTTTGTGTTGCACAAAAGCACAAATTCCTGCCAGTCCGAGTGTGGTCATGGGTCAGAAGCATCAACATCCCATGTGCTTGCTGTAAATGCAGAATCGCAGACCCTTCTAAACCAGAGTCTGTGTTTTAACAAAAATTCCAGATGATTCAAGGGCACATTCAAGTTTGAGAAGCACTGACGTTCTGATGAAAGAATGAATTTGCTACATTCATCTATGTAGGAAGATTCTAACTCCTGATTTTGTTTCTTGGATGATTAGTTTTCTTGAGTCAGTTTTGGTGATTTCTTACTTTTTATACATTTGTCTAAACAGATTTTCAGATTGAGAGGTCTTAGAGACATTACTGTTGTTCTCTTGCACATAAACCATGCAGTCTCTATTTGATCAGTGGCTTCGGGGCTCTTTGCCGGTCATTTTGATCATGTGGTTTCCTTAAATATCGTTGTGGGCTCTAAGGCCCCACAGAAGATGCAGTTCTCCTATTATGTATTTTGACTTTAGTGATTCTGTTATAAAGAATGCCTCACTAAGTCAAGATCTAATTCAATTATTGTATATTTATGACGAGAAATATCTGAAATGAGCTTTCAGAAATCAGATAATCGTACTGTTGAAATGTATGTTGTATTAACAACTTTAATATATACTTATTTTGTCATGCAGTTTCTAACCAATTTGAGAACCTTTACACATAGTAGCCAAATTTATGACACATTTAAAGTTTTAAGTGATACTACTTTGTCATTACTTCATACAGCGATGAAGTGTAAATACAAACTTGGGCACTTTAAGCTCATGATAGAAGTGATCCAGAATAAACTTAATGCCAATTTTTTAAAAATTGCCAAATGGCAATAAAATTTAGAACTCGTGATGGAAGTCTCCTGGATACCTAGCACATGTCTCTGTTAGCCTTCAGAGATCAATTTTGGAAAACAGTGATCTACGGCAGGATTTCTCAGTCCTGTCAGTGTTGACCCTCCATGCTGGGTAGTTCCTAGTTGTGGGGCTATTCTCTGCACCACAGGGCATCCTGCAGCGCCTCTGGCCTCTACCTCTGTTAGATGTCAGTAGCACTCGCAGTCGTAACGATCAGAAATGTCTGCAGACATCGCCAGGTGTCCCTAAGAGACAAAATCACACACACCCCACCCTCCCGTTGTGAGAACCAGGGATCCAGAGCAACTAGTTGTATCTAGTTATTATATTAGTGTTTTTTTTTTGAAAATCTGAAGTTTAGATTTGTAAAAGCCTATTCAAAGTCTAAAAATCCATGAAGCTATTAAAATGGAAAGATTTTTCATTATTTTCTGGTAAGCTCATTGGGTACCCAAACCTGGCCTAAACTACCAAAAGATATTTAATTTATCTATTCATTGTCATTGTCCACATGTGTTGCCGTAGATGCATTTGTGTGTTTAATTATAGAATTCTACCCCAGAAGCCTGAGGGGTGGTAAATACTGGTTTTCCAAAATACGAATTCCAAGATACATCCCAAAATGGGTTTCCAATAAAGGATTATTGACTCTGTATTTGAAAGACAAACTGACTGTAGACGGTACTATATTGATTTAATTTTGCTGATTTTGCCCTTTTGCTATTTCTATCATTCTTACACTTTTTTTCACATATTTTTCACAATAAATAGAAAATGTGCTAGGATATTTATTTTCTGCCCAAAACACAGTAACACACAATTGCTAGTACTGGTCAGTTACGTTTCTTTTCTCTTAAAGAACTTTATTGGCAGCTATTAGTTTTTATTATGTGGTTGATGGCTTATACATTTTATTACCTTAAACATATGGCATCTGTTATAATTTTTTCTCTGATATTGATTTTTAACTACGGCAACTGAAGACCATCATCTTAGTAGCTTAAACTATGTAGAGTGGTTAACTTGTCCTCTGTGCTGTTGATACAACCCTCAGTCATCTTCTCTGTGTTAGGTTGGCATCACCCTCTTCACCGTGTCGCATAGGAAGTCTCTTTGGAAGCACCATGAGGTTTGTATTTCTTACACTGAATGATACTGTGAAAGTTTATTTAAATATGTGAATTCAGGTGATTATGGTTTTAGATTTTTTGGTATATATTCCCTTATATACATATACCTTAAGGGAAAAGGGTGATTCAGTTTTATAAAATGGAATAGGATTCTCTTAAATATTATTGAAGTTGTCAATTTTAAAAGCTACATATATATAAACAATCCCTTGTTTTAAATGAGAGATATTAGAGAACTAGTTGGTGGTTCTCCAGTTTTATAAATGACTGACTAAAATTTGCCAAATTTTGTCACAACTGTGGCTAAGTAAACTTTTCGTTACCATCCGATATTGACAGAAGGAGAGAGAGTCTTAGGAAGGATTAGATCCCAAAATGTCTAGGAGCATTTTTGGTGGAGATCAGGACTCTAAGGAAACTGAGCCGTGTCAGCTGTGTTCATCACTGCACTGTGGTGAGGTGGACCTCATTGGCAGTCACGTGACTTACAAAGACGCATCCCACAGTGAGTGTCACGCTGGCACAGACAGCTCACTTCTCTTGCCATTTCAGCAGTGCCATTCTCAGGACAGCAGGCAGCTCTTTACTGCTCTTAATGTAAAATGATCACACCCTAAAAAATAAACCTAGTTTAATTCATTTTGCTTTTTTTTTCCCTTTCCCTCTTTCCTTCCTTCTTTTCTTTCCTTCCTAAATGACACAGAAAGTTTAGGTAAAAGAAAGGGTTTGGGAAAAGTTGGAATGAGGGTATCTTGTCCCATGAAGCACACACCTGATTGAGCACCTTTTGTGCCATGTACTGGGCTAAGTGTGTGAGGGATGCAGAGAGCTGTCTTTGCCCTCAGGAGCCGGTAGTTTAAGATGACAGTGCACAAATGATGAAATGAAGAGCTTGGGATTGAAGTCAGAAGACCTGGGTTCAGACACCATTGTTTCTGGCATCCATTGCTTCCTTCATATAATAAAGTTATTGATCCTTGTCTATGTGTCTCATAGATTGTTACCGCAAGGATCAAAGAGATAGCTTATCTGAAAGCACTTAATAAAATGTTGTGAAATTCTGTATGACTGTGTGCCTTTTAAAGATAATTTTTTTTATCTTAGGGCATAATTTGCCCATATTTTCATGAGCTGGATGAAAAATCAAATAATCAGAAATCAAAGCAGTTTAAAATATATGCAAACCTCTGTGTTTTCTTTAGATGTCCATAAGCCTAACAGCCATAGGACAGTGAGTGGACTTGGGTTTTACCTCTAGCAAAATACACGTCAGGCCAGTGGTCATGTGAAAAAGGAGTGACAGGAAGAACAGTGAAGTTAGAGGCTAGAATAGCTCTGAAATAACAATATAAAACCGGGAAAACATAAGTCCTTTCTGTAGATGAAAAGCCACTAAACAGAAGTCTTTATTCACCACTGTCCCGAGTATCTTCATAGGATGGGATAGATAGGCACAGTATATAGCTCTTTTCCTCCTCTGCCCACTCCAAAAGCAGAAAAGCCTCTACTTAGGCTCCAAGCTGATCTAGGAAGCATTATTAGGGGAGTATTAGAGGCTGCCTCTTTGAATAGACTTTGCATTTGACTCCGTTTGACCTGTGGTAGATCAGATCCTTGGTTATGGAGTTATAGAAATATTCTAATTTGTGGGATGCTTATAGATTTGGTTCTTTTAAAATAGTGAGGAAATCTAGTATTTTAATTCTCAAAAGGGAAAGTACTATATTCCAAGCAGAGTTATATTGTTGCTATTTTTTAAAAGAGCAGACTTCTTCATTTAGTCTTGGAGAGCTGTATGCATTTCTATATATAAACTTTAAAAGTTCTTGTGGCTTAAAAATAATCATGTCTAATGATTAATTGTTGTAATAATCTCTACATAAATTCCTGACAAGAAGGAAATTCTCGTGGTCATTGATTTCCCCCCTTCTCTCCCACAGTACTACCTGCACATGGATGGCAGAGGCAATTATGAATTTAAGCAGATAACAGAAGATACAGTTGAGTTTGGCTCTTAGAATCTGGAGAACTGTACCTGCTTCAATGAAATAATTACAGAAAACACTTAGAAGTACAAAGTACATTGTGGAATAAAGTTGAGCTTTGTTTTTAAACAGAGCAACAAATTAACTAAATATAAAATAATCGAGAACAAGTTGTTAAAACATTTAATATTATATAGGATATTGCTAATTGTGTATATGTTGGTTTAATTATTAATATGTACTAAGAATGACCTTATCCTTGTGGTTGAAAAACTGCCTAAATTAAATTGGGCTTCAATCAGTGTAACCTGATTCATCCTGGGATGTAAACCATTTGAAGTCAGCTAATTTGACTTTTATGGCTCTATCTTTTCCTTCAATGAAGAACCCTGTTTAAAACTGGGGTCATCACTTGTCCTGTCCTAACAAGATAGTCTTGAGTTACGTTTTCTTGTGCCCCATGAGGTGGGAAGCAAACAAATCATAGTGTGTTAGCAAAAGGTGCAGCATCAGTGCATACTAGCTTGTACCACGTAGTGGCGGGTTTCTTTAGTGCCACAGTTATACTCATTCCTTGTGTATGTCTTGGGGTACATTTAACTCCAGGAAAGCCACCTGAATTTTCTTTGGCCAAATAATAAATGTGCCGGTCTCAATCTGAAGTATTGAGTTGTTTTGAGAGCTCTTTGTGGTCATACAACAGAACTATACGCAGTCTTGTTTACAAGAGGTCGTCACTGTGTTTCACACTTAATCCTCCAGTGTTTGGGACACTAAAACACACTGTCCTTACGTGTCAAGTTCCATGTCTTACAAGATGTTTAAATTGTTTTTTAAAAGAATTGGACGGGATTTGTGTGCATTAAAGCCCATGCATTAGAACTGTGGACACACAGTCTAACTCCACACGAGCCATACGAATGCACTACATGAAGCAATGCGCTGAGTATGCCATGCTGTCACTGTCCTTGTGATTTCATGTTTAACAAAACCTCTCATAACCCCGTTAGCACATGGGTGAATTATGTTCCCTAGGTACTGGTTTCTCTCTGTAAATCTTTAATAACTTTTTAATATTTGGGTTATTATGTTGAACTTTCCTAAGAGAAATCAATTTCATCTCACCAAACTGCCATTAATGACCACATGTATTATTTGCACAGAGAGAACTAAAACTGAATATTATCAATAAACTAGATATGAAATCAGTTTGATCATACCGGGGTTCAGAAAGGGGCATTTTTTTACTCTGGTTTCTGCATAACTGGTTTTGGTTTCTGCAGAATTAGTTATAAGAATTATCAGCTACCTAAGTAAAATTTGATGTACTGATTCCATATATGTAACATTCAATTTTTACCACTCTCCTTAACAAACTTGTATAATTAATCTCTGTTCAAATTAAAAAAAAATCAGGTATCTTATACATTCTTTGCTTGTTCTTTTTGTTCTGGTATCTAAATAATGGGTCGTTCATACATAGTCATACAGTCTTGACCTGAAAAACAAAAATAAATCAACATTTGGAAATCCTTTTTTTCCACCCAATGTCTCTTTTTTGAAAAGTATGTCAAATGTGTTTCTAATGAAAAAGTTTCTCTTTTAGAAAAACCAGTTAAAATCTTTAGTGTACTCACAAATGCTACCAAATAGCCAGGAGACACAAAATTATATTAGTAGTCCTGGGAAAGATTTTTAGGCATGGGGGAAGTTTGAGATTTTCAGATTTCTGGATGACCCTAAACCTACCAAGAGCTGCCTCTCAGTTCCTTCTAGAATAGATTCTTTCCATTAAAATTTTTTCTTTATTTTTAAATTTAAATATTAAAGTACCTCACCACTTGAGTCACAGGAAGACCCTCCTGGAGAGTCACAGTGCGCAGTAACAGACATGTTTCTAAGAAGGCCTGCAGTCAAGAAAACCCGTGTTCCCAAAACATTACTGACCATGGCGCGTCTTCCACGTACTTCCTATTAGCATGTTTTATTGGTTGCACTGGGGAATGGACGTTTAATCTAAAGAATAACTAAAGAATAAGAACTTGCATCCACAAGCAGCACACTGCATCCCAGGTGTATCATTCTGTGTTGCGTACCAAGCTTCTACTCTTAAATTTTTTTTTAAGATTTTTATTTATTTTATTTTTAGAGAGGACAGGGAGGGAGAAAGGGAGAGAGAGAAACATCAATGTGCGGTTGCTGGGGGTCATGGCCTGCAACCCAGGCATGTACCCTGACTGGGAATCGAACCTGCGACACTGCTTCTACTCTTTATATAATGAGAACACATGGATGTAAACAACTATGGCTGTTTGCTATGCATTCACAGAATAAAGTATACCCAGGGTTGCTTCTGTAGGGGAGGCAAAATTTTACTTCTACCCTCTTAAAGTTTTTGGCTGGGCCTGAGAAATAAGTGGACATAAGACAGGTTAGCAGAAGAAAATCATACAAGTTTATTCAGTGTTATGTGGTATAGGAGCTCTCAGAAGGAAATGAAGACCCAAAGAAGTGGCAGAACCTGAAGACTTTCGTACTAGGTTCAGCAAAGAGAGGTAATTGTGGAAAAGTAAGCCACGGGAGGAGGCTAGAGGATGGTAAGAATTCTTGTGATAAGCTTTGTACAGAATTCTCAGATTCAGCATCCTGTGCTTGCTGGGAAGAATGTTGCTTTCCTTCTGGTACAGAGAGGATGTCTTCCATGGGGGGTGGTTATCTCCTGTGCTCAGAGGAAAAAGGAGAGTCAGGGCGCTCTTCCTTCAGCTGTTGCTTTCTTAAAGTGTCTTCAGTTCAAAGTAGTCCTTATGCCAGAGTGGCATATTTCGGGCTGACATATTCTACCCTCTTTCATCTCTTTCCTCCTTTCTTAATTAGCATTTGGCTTAAAACTGTGGTGATATTATAGCATCTATCATATTTCCTTTTATAATTTTTTAACTTTTAAAACAATGTTTATAATTTTCCTAAAAGCAAGAGTGAATTTTTCTTCTGTCAGACTTTCTTTAACATCATTAGTTGTAGGAAACTGTTTACATTTCTACCTACATCAGTAATTTTTCCTTTGTGAAGAAATGTTTTGACATTATATATATGCATGCCACTTAAAAAATATCTAGTACTGCCCTGGCTGCATTGCTCAATGGTTGGAGTTTCATTCCACACACCAAAGGGCTGTGGGTTCAATTCCCATTCAGGGCACATACCTAGGTTGCAGGTGTGATCCCTGGTTGGGGTAGGTATGGGAGGCAACAAATGGATGTTTCTCCCTCTCTCAGAAATCAATCAATATATTCTCAGGTGAGGATTAAAAAAAAAATCCAGTGCCCCCAATTGCTGAATAACAGGCCTCTCCCTACTTCCTAGGGACAACCATTTCTAACAAATATTTTGTGGTAATTTTTTATTTTTAAACAATATGCTATATAGCTATTTCTTGGTTTATCAGTTTAGACATTTCTACTGCCCATATTTCTGCCTCATCCCCTACATATGTCATTTTTAAAAATTTGCAAGCACTTTATTGTACTATAATACATATGCAGAAAAGTCCATAAACCTTAAACTCAATACATTTGTTAAAATGTTTTATTGTTTATGCTGTTGCAGTTGTCCCAGTTTTTCTCTTTTCGGCCCCCTCCGCCCATCCAGCGCCCCCACTTCCATACTCAGTCCCCACACTGTCGTCCATCTCTGTGAGTCCTTCATGCATGTGCTTTGACCCCTTCCCCTTCTTTCCACCAGTGCCTCGCCCCCCTCCCCTCCCACAGCTGCCAGTCTGCTCCATGATTCCAGGCCTCTGGTTCTATGTTGCTCATTAGTTCTTTTGTTTATTAGGTTCCACTTGTGAGATCATATGGCATTTGTCTTTCTCGGATGGCTTATTTCACTTAGTACGTTTTTATAAAGTGTGTATGCTCATTACCACCTCCCAAATCAAGAAATCCAACACTGTTACACCTGGAAGGCCGCCTTTATATCATCTTCCAGTTAATAGCCCCTAGAAGCCATTCTGTCACATAAATTAATTTACCTATTTTTTGAACTTTATATGTGTTCCACACCCTTTTGTGTATGGCTTCTTTTCCTCAGTTGATTGAGATCGATCTGTGGTAGATGTGGCAGTAGTTCCTTCACTTTTATTGCTGTATCCTATTTAATTATAGGAGCAGACCATACTTGGTTCATCTTACCAGTGATGGGCAATGGGTTTTCTGTTCAGAGCTTTTGCAAATAGTCCATGTAAACATTCTTATGCATGTCTTTCAGTGCACACATGTATGCATTTTTGGAATGGAACGTGTTCAGTTTTGTTATGTACCCACCAAAATGTTTTCCAAAGTACCATTTTACACTCCTTTCATAAATGCACAAGAATCTGTTTTCCCAGTCCTAGCCAATACTTGGTATTGTGAGTGTTTTTTTAAGTTTTTATTTTTAGTTATGTATTTTTAGCCATCAACAGTAAACCATTTGGTTTAATTTTGCATTTCCCTGATCAGTAATGAGCTTGAACTCATTTCATATTTACTGGTCATTTGCACGTCCTCTTTTTCCCTTACATCTTCGGGCTTGGCCCATGAAATGATATCAGGGACATTTCTGTATATTCTGGATATGAAGCCTTTGTTAGATAGATGTTCTAATGTCAGATAAGGGAGACTTTAAACAGTCATCAAAAAGATTGGTCCAACAATTAACACACAAAACGCAAAAGCCCACAAAGTGGTTCATAGAGTCACCAACCTGACGTCACTGATGTGCGCCCTGCAGCTGCAGCGCCCTTCCCGCCCGACCACGCCCGGCACTTCCGGGTAGCTGAGACCCAGTTACTTCCCGTCTGTAACGTGCAGTTTCTGGGTAGAGGTCTCCTCTCTCAGTAGCTTTATTGCTAGGCATTTCATGTTTGTTGATTCTAGTAATTGTATCTATTGAACATGTCATTTTCTAATTGTTGCTACTGAATAGAAATGCAGTTAATTTTTGTATATTGATCTTCATGACTGAGTGTGTTTGCCAAGGACAGCCCCTTAATATAGCGCATCCCCCATGTTCTTTAAGGTGTGGCATCAATGATCCCTCCCCTGGAACTTTATTTGGGTGGTATTTGGTCAGAATTGCACGAGAGGGGAGGAAGTCCCTCCCAGCAGCATCGTCTCAGAACACAGAAAAACTGACAGAATGCAGAGAAAACTAGTTCCAGAGATGGTGGCATGGAATACCACCCATCAGAGGAATAAGACAAGGGGACCCACAGGGGGAAATGGAAAATAGGAGGGGCTCGAGCATCTAGGTGATGTCGCTCAGCAGCGATTGCTCCCGAGGGCAGAGGTTTGGGGTTTTTATTGTTCTAGGGTTGTCTCATCTGCGGTTAGCAGATGTTCCATTCAGTTTTGTGAGGTATATAAAGCAGGTAGGCTCTAACTGGCTAAAAATATGGTTTTGTGGACTATAAAGCAGTTGGATGTGAGGGTTTGCGGTTGGCCTGGCAGGCTGTGGCTGCTGGTCCTAGACTACTGTGAAGAAGTAGACAGTGTGGGGGCTGCCGTAGGCTAACATGGGGGACCACCTCTGGGCCCATTTATAGGCTAGGATACTTCTGTAACCAGCAGAATGCAGCGGAAATTCTAGTTAAATCATTTAAAATTAACAATCAGTGTTTGCTTTTTGATGAATGTACAGTAGTTGCCCCTTATCTCCTGTTTTGCTTTCTACATTTTGTTACTGCTGTCAACCATAGTCTGAAAATATTAACTGGAACATTCCAGAAGTAAACAATTCATAAGTTTTGAGTGGTGTGTGTTTCTGAGTAGTGTGATGAAGTTTTGCACCATCCTGCTCCATGCCACCCAGGACTGAGTCATCCTCAGTCCAAGATCCATGCTGGACCTTGTCTAGCATCTTCACACTCCAAAATCCACCCAACCGTTCGTCACTGAGTAGCCAGCTCAGTCACCAGATTGATGGTGGGGTCGCTGCAGTGCTTGTGTTCATGTAACCCTTATTTTGCTTAATAATGTCCTCAAGGCACAAGGACAGTGATAGTGGCAATTCGGACATAACAGAGAAGCCATCAAGAGCTTCCTTTATGTGTGGGAAAAGACAGTGTGCACTGTGCAGGGTTCGGTACTGTCCATGGTTCCCGGCGGCCCCTGCGCCTGAGGAGAGACTTATATAATGTTGTTCACTGCACAGCCAAGTAGAGAAGTATGTTCCTTCTTGTCTTTTCCCTTTAGTCTGATTGTCTTCCTTTTCAAAAAACCTTGCTCCATCTGCCATAACTCTCATAGCATAATAATCCTTAATTACTTTTTAAAATTTTATTTTGTTGTTCAAGTACAGTTTTGTCTTTTACTCTCATCCCAGCCCACACACCCATCCCTCCCCACTTCCCTCCCATTTCTACCCCCCTCCCCAGTTTTTGTCCATGTGTCCTTTAAATTTGTTCCTGTAAACCCTTCCCTTTTTTCCCTGAAGTTCCCCTGAAATTCCCTCCCTATCCTTAATTACTTTTAGTTGTAACATCATATCAATGT